TCATTTAAAGATTACGTATTAGAATAACACATAATTCTCTATTTAAAAAAAAAAAAAAAAAAATCTAAATATTTAAAAGTAGATACACAGACATTTATTAATATATTATTTAACATGTAGTATGTATAAATATGAATAAAATAAATCATTAAACATATCTACAATATTTTCAACTTCTACTATTCTTTCTCTTGATTTCAAAAATAAATACTTTTTTTTTTCTTCAACTAAAAAACTACTAGATTTATGATAATTGTTTGAAATAATATCCTCTAAATTATTTAATACATTAGATCTGTAACCTTTATAAATATAATACTCATTTATCTCTTCTTCTCTGTTAATGAAATTTAATATTAAGAATTGTTATTTATATTTACACTTCTTTATTTTATTTTATTTTTTTTTTTTTCTTTCGTATAATTCTTAATTTTTTTCCATATAAATATATTTTCTTTTTTGTTTTTTTAAATACATTTTTCTTTTAAATTTTTTTTTTTTTATGTGTTTATTTTTTTATTTATAATTATATATATATATATATATTTTTTTTTTTTTTTCTCTATTATGGATATATTTATTTTATTAAGAAAAAAATATTTTTCTTTTTGCATAATTTCAAAAAAAAAAAAAAAAAAAAAGTTTTAATAAATTTTACTTGAAAATTATAGTAGGTTGATCATTGTTATTATTTTTAACTTCTGAAAAGAAGTTAAGAATTTTAGAATTATAAGACTGCTCTAAATCTTCTAATTTTCTAAAATAATCATAAATATTGTCATTTATAACTTTTATTATTTTTGAAATATTCAATTTAAATTTCTCTATGAAATTATTTAATGAAACTATATTCATTAATTCTTCATTTATTAATTTATCTCTAAAAAAAAAATTTTCTTCAATATTATTTTCAATGTAATTTTTTAAAATTATATAATTATCTTTTTGAACAAAAATATTTATGTTTTCATTTTTGTTAGAAATATTATCATTTTTTTCACATTCGTTGCCTTCTTGGTGTTCATTAAAAATGAGCATATCAAAATTTAAATTCAAATTTTTCCATATGCCTTTAATTCCATTTTTAAATGTATCATTTAAATCTTTATTTTCATTTATCTCTAATCTTTTCTTGTAATAATCAGGACATTTTTTAATCATCATATTTTTAATTCCTATTCATAAATTTATTAATATATATAAATTTATTAATATATATTAAATTTATTAATATATATTAAATTTAACTATTTTTTTTATGAGTATAACCTTCTTTTAAATTTAAAAAATTTAATATATCTCGTATAACTTTTTTTGCTCTTTCTTTTAATTTCTTATATGCACTAATATTTTCCAACATACTTTTTGAAATAAAGTTTTCAACTTCATTTTCAAATTCATCAGAAGATTTTTTTCTTTCTTCATTTAATATTAATATTTTATTACTGATAAAAAAAAAAAAAAAAAAAAAAAAATTTTAGCTAGTATATATATTTAATATGTGAATTTTACTTACATTATTTCTGAATTTATATTTTGAATATTTTGTAAGTAATCCTCTTTTATTTTTAAATAATTATCTATTTTAAATAAAACTACTGGTTCTTTTTTTTCATCAAATAGTGAATTAGACAAAATAGTTATATCATATAAATGTGCTTCAAAAAGCTTTTTTTCATAATCATTTGTATCATTTATATTATTACTTAAATGAATATTTTTAATTTCCTTTGTTTCTTCATATGTTTTATTATCAATGTTATTTTTCTCTATTTGTGAATTTTTAATAGTAAGTATTTCATTATTAAAATACTTAATATTTTTTAAATTAGAAATAATATAAAATGATAAATTTTTTATATTACATATAGGATTATCAATTAAATTTAAAAATCTTATTTTTTCTAAACACCTTAAATAAAATATATTTTCTAAATTTTCTATACAATTTTTACTTAATATCAGAATTTTTAAATTTTTATTACAATTTAAATTTTCAATTTTTTTAATTTTGTTATTATGTAAATTTAGCTCTGATAAATTTATTAAATTATCTAAATTTTTAATTTCTTCTATATTGTTATTTGAAACGCTTAATATCTTTAAATTAACTAATTCATCTAAATTCTCTAATTCTTCTATTAAATTATTATCTAAATATAACTCCTCTAAATCTATTTAGAAAAAAATAAAATAAAATAAAATAAAAAAAAATAAAATATATATAATATGAATTATGAAAATATATATAATATGAATTATGAAAATATATATAATATGAATTATGAAAATATATATTTCACTAAGACCTATAAAATTTCTATATAATTCTTTTTTAATAATATATATATTATTTACAATATTTAAAATGTTTAAATATTATTAACATAATTTCACATAATAAAAAAAATAAAATAAAATAAAAATTATATTAAAATGATATATATATATATGTATTTATTTACTTTTTAAAAGGTTAATATTCTGTATCAATAATATTTTTCTATTTTCTAGAGATAAATTTTTAACATGGTAAAATTCATCAATAATATTATTTTTTTTTACATTGTTACACTTCTCTATTTCCTCAATTAACATTTTTTCATTTATTATATTTGTGCTTATATTTTTATAATCATTTTCTGCTATTGTATTGTAGAATATTTTATTATTTATATCTTCCCTTTTTTCATAATTTAAATAATTTTTTTTATCTTCTTTATATTCTTCTTTTGTTTCACTCATTTTTTCATTATTAAACATAACAGCATCTTTTATATCAAATATAAGTAATTCGATTTTTCTTTTAATTATTATTTTTTTATTAATAATTTTTAAAAAAAAAAAAGCGTTTAGAAATGTATACTTATATATCTTTTATAAATTCTATTAAAACAGATGATATTATTTACTTATTTTTATATAAAGATAATTTCTTTTTAATATTTAATATACATAAAATATTTACTAAAAAAAAAAAAAAGGAAAAAAAAATAATATTAAAAATAAGACAATAAGATTTATAAAAAAAAAAAAAAAAAAAATTTGTTTCGCTATCTTAAAATCATTTAAGAGTTTAAAAAAAGTATTTCAAATCATCACAATAATTTTATAGTAATTAATAATAAGAGTTTTTATTTAGATATTAGAAATTACTCTTCTTAGACTTTTTTTTTTTTTTTTTTTTTTTTTTTTTTCTATTCCTTTTTACTAAATTATAAATAATCTTATGCACAAATAAGATTAATAATAATAAGGAAATTTTATTCCTTTTCTAATTATACAATAATAATAAAATTATTTAGTTTTATTTTTTGTTATTTTACTCCTAATATTTTTATGAATCAATGTAAAAATATAATGGGAAAAATAAAAATTAGAAAATATTAAGTTCTTCTTTTATTCTATTATATAAATAATTCCAATTATAATGTGTCTATTTATTTTATTTTTTAAATACTTTGAATTATTGAGATGAAAATTATCAAGGCTACATTTAGTTATTTGTGTAATGCATAAAAACTTTAATAAATTATGAAAATTTATCAACTTAATATTTTAAAATATGAAATTTGTAATATTTTAGAATTTTATTTTTAAGTAATTTTAATCTTTTAAAAATAACATTTCAAAAAAATATCATCTTAAAATTTAGGACAATTTTAAGATAATATTACATTTTATATTTAATCTTTAAAATTAAAAAAAAAATAATATATGAAAAATTATTCTTTTTGTAATACAATATTTATACTTTCTCTTATTATAGATGTAATATTTTTTTATGTATAGAAGGACAACATTAACTTTTTTTAATTAGAAAACACAACAATTATTACAACTATAATTTTAAAAAAATATTTTTATTTATATATAAAAATGTTATAAATTATTTTAAATTATATAATTAATTATTGATTAAAATAATTTTTTAAATTATTTTCTCTATTCTTTTAAAGGTTCAGTAGACATGCAATATATTAAATAATCATGCATTCAAAAAAGAATTGCTAGATTTATTCTGTCTTCTGTTAAATATAAAATATATGTAGTTTGTTTTAAAAATTTATAAAAATTTTTTTACACTTTTTTTTTCTACATTTTTTAATTTTTTTTTTTTTTTTATTTAACAACTTTTTTCATTATATATATATATATAATTACATATATAAAAATAATAAAATATATACTTTTAAATATTATTTATGAATATTAAAGAAAAGAAAGAATGATAAAATTTTAAAATAAAAAAAAATGAAAATGTGTATTCTACACTTTCTATTTAATAAAGATATCAAAAAAAAAAAAAAAAAAGTGAACAAATATTTAAATTTATAAATACATAAATATATATTCATATATTTTTTGTCTTATTTATAATGACTATATTTTGTTTTTTTTTTTTTTTTTTTTTACATTCGCAAGCTAAGGGATTTTTAAATTTTTTACATAAAACAAATGAAACAACAAAAAAATATACATTTATGTTAATTTCTTTGATTGAATCAAGAGAAAAAGTAAAATTAAATAAAAATAACGATAAAAAATTAAAAGAAATAGAAGAAAACATAAAAAAAATAAAAAGAGAGATGAATAATATGTATTTCTCTCTTAAGCATTTATATTCATCAATTAATTTAAGTTTCACCAAAGAGTTATATTTATATGATGAAGATGTTAAAATAAGGATATTTGAAGAAGAAAGTTTAAACAATCTTAAAACAATTAATGACTTAAAAGTTTATTTAGAAAAAATTACTAGACGTTATAAAAAAAAATTCATGAAAAATAAATTAGAGCAGACTTGTAATTACATTAATACTAAAAATATCTTACGTAAACAGATTGAAGTATTAAGATATAGCTACCATATGATATTAATAAAATTATATTATAAAGAATATATAAATTATTTTAGAAAATTAATAAACAACAAAAATGATTTTTTTAACATTCCATTTAATTCATTTCTTTACTTTAAAGAAGATATTTTTTATAAAAATTATGAGAATTACAATGAAAACATAACAGAAAAAGATATATTAAATGAAGAAAAAGAGATTAAAGAAAAAATTAATAAAATGAAAAATGAAGATGGGGATCAAATGAAAAGCGAGAAAAATATCGAAAAAAAAAAAAAAATAAATGAGTCTAAATCTTATTTATATATACTAAGTGAAAAATCAGATAAAGAGTTTATGATGAAAATGAGAATCCTCCTAAATAATATCTATATTTCATTAGGAAAAAATATTTTCAATTCTGTTAAATATATACCATTAAAAATGATAGAAATAACAGAAAAACAAATAGGTGTAAATTATTGCAGGGATGTATATAAAGAATTAAAATATAAGAATTACGATAAAACTTTTTTTGATGAAAATCATTTTGAAAATTTAATTAAATATTCTGAAGAAAAAACATTTTCATCATTAATATTAGAAGAAAAAAAAAACCTTTATGAAAAGAGAGGTGTTTTTCATTATTTTATTTTTTTTCATATAGAAAAAATATTAATTATAAAAAGAAAACTAGAAAATAAACTATTAGAATTTATTAAACTATTTAAACAATTTCAAAATAATCCTCAATCAATGATAATAACAATTAAAAATGAAATAAAATATATATTCGGCTTATTGAATGAATATATAGATATGTATTCATTTATTTATTTGAATTTTGATGATTATTATAATACAATTAGAGATATATTATCTTTGAATTATATTGAAAAAAATTTAAAAGATAATAGAAAATATATAGCTGAAAAAATTATAAAGCATTTAAGTAATTTAAATAGGTCTTTTTCTAAATATAGTAAAACCAAAGAAATATATGAAAATTTTATAGAAAACCTAACAAAAAAAAAAGATAAAACTATGAAAAATAAATATAATAAAAATATTAAAAAAAATAATGAAAAAAAAAATGATATGGATAGAAATGAAACATTAAAAAAAGGGGAGAAAAATAAAAATTACGTTGATTTTAATAATATAAAAGAATCAGAAAATTTCAATTTAAAACATCCTTTATTTCCGTTAAATGACAATGAAAATTTCTTTATAGAAAAAGAAGATAGGGAAAAAAAAAGTGAATTATATAATAGAGTGATAAAGGATGAAAATGAGTATTTACACAATTTAAAAAATATAATGAAACTATTAAACGATTATAAAAAACTTAAAAATAAAAAAATAAAAATAAAATATGTTTCAAATATTAATAAGACAGAAAGGGAACCTATATTATTTGCATCAAAATTTAGACAATACCAAATAATAGAATATTATAAAAATATTTTACTATTTATAAAAATGTTAATTATAAAAAGAATATTATTAAAATTAAAAACAAAAATTAAATTTTTAAAAGAATTTTCCCCATCTGCTTTTTTGTTTAATAAATATTTTTTTTTCATTATATATAATAGCTCCTTTCAAAATTTTATAAAAAAATATAAAAAAAAAGTAAATACAGATTTTTGTTTCAACTTAACTTTAATAAACTTAGAAAGTTCACTAAAGTATTTTGATTTGTTTAATATTCTGATAGATTATATGTTTTATATTTTTAATCTTAATCCTAACTTCATGAGTAAACATTTGAGTGTGGATAATGAACTTATTCTGACTGATTTATATGAAAATATTAAAAATTTGAAAAATTTAACTGATATAAAAAATTTTTTACAAACAAAATTTTCTCAAAACATTTATAATTTATCCTTTAAAAACATAAAAAAATCTTTTAAATTTATTCATACATATTTACATAATATATTTAACAGTGACAATATCTCTACACATATTTTAAAAAATTTTGAAAATTTGAAAATTTATCAAAAGAACAAGGATTTACACAAAGTATACAATGAAATTTATTCAAAAAATAAAATTGAAAATTTTATTTTTAACAATATGAATGATTTAAAAAATGAATTTAATTATGTAAATACGACAAATGTATCATCTATTAATTTCTGTTCTTATATAGAATTTCCATTAAAACTGTTTGATAACACGTTTTTAATGAATTCCTTAACAGAATCTTATAAATTTATTCTTTACAAAACCCAGCAAAATTATATTTTTAAATTATATTATTATGTTAATTATAAAAATACAACTATTTTTGAAAAAATTATTTTTCAATTATTAAGTAAATATAATATGGAAACTTACAACAATTTAAAAATTAATATGATGAAATCTTATTGCAAAAAAAAAAAAATTGAAAAAGATAAAAAATTTTATAAAAGTATAAATTTTTTTAATGAAAATAACTACTTAAATGAAGATAAAGAAAGTTATAATTTTTCTGATAGTAATAATAAATATATTTACGAAAATCTAGTAATTTCATGTAGTGAATGTTTAAATGACAAAAATAGTTCACAAATATCAAAAGGAAAAATTGATTTCAATTCAAAAAGAAACATGAAAATTGGTAAATCACAAGATAAATTTGAAAATGTTAATATAAATAATAATTTACCATGTTTTTATGAATGTGATTTATTAGATGAAACAAAAAAATCTCTTTTATCTTTTCATATAAAAAACTTTGAAAAATATTCAAATAAATTAGAACTTGAATTACCAAAAGAAAATTATGAGATTAATAATATATTACACCTATTTACCAAAACAGATGGAAATTATTTTCGTAAAATAAACAAAAATGAAATTAAAAAAGAACTAATATATTGTAATAATATATATATAAATTATAAACCATTTTCATTTAATTCAACATTTAATATTTCTCTCGCTAATGAAGATGAATTTCTTTTAGAAAAAGATTCAATTGAGCATTACTACTTTATCTTAAATTTATTACATGAATATTTAGTAAATAAAAATGAAAACCTTTTAAATATCAAAAAAGTAGAAAAAAAAATAACAAATTTATACGTAAAAATAAAATTATATGAAGAAAACATTTCACAAATATATAAACAAACACAATTAAAAAATTTAATTGAAGATACAAGTGAAATGAAAAAACAATATAAAAATGATATATCAAAGGCAGTGTATGAAAAACATATAGCATTGTTAGATATATATAGAGATATAATACAAATATATGCAAAAACTGAAAACCATTTAATTAGCTTAAAAAAAGTAAAAGAAAAAAAAAAAATAAGCATGAGAAATTTCGAGTTAAATAAATATTCTCATTTAATTCAAAATCAGAAGGAAGATATTCAACAATTTAATTTTTACCATAATGAAATATTAAAATATTTACGAAAACAAGAGAAATGCTGTGATTCTTACATAAAAGAGATGTTAATCCATTTTAAATATTTATCTGCATTCCATTCTTCATTTTCTAATATTGAGAAAAATAAAAAAATAATTGTTTATATATATAGAAGTATCATTGATTCATTTAATGATATTATTAGGTGTGAAAAAAACACAAAAGACTTAATTATTAATTATAATAAAATAAAAGAAAAATTGCGTTTAATGTATACAATTAATAGTAATTCACATAAAAAATATCGAAAATTTTACCTATTAACTAACTATTTTTATATTGAAAGAGATGATAATATTTACTTTTTTATAGATATTTATGAAAAAATAAGAAATTATAAAATTTATGAAAAACTTATAAGTGATATAAAAGAAGATTTATTTATTGTTGGGAAATTAAATGATAAAAATAAAAAATGGCAATTAATTTTTAAACAAATAGAAAAGCAAATTAATATTTTAATAGGATTAAAAAAAAAGTTACATATAGATGTTGTATCTAATGTAAAAACTTTATATTCCAATTTATTTTATGAACTTATGATGATTTATGAATATCTCGTAAATTTTGAAAAAAATTTAAATAAAAAGTTGCTTATTTATAATAATACCTTAAATAACATAGAAAATTCTTTTGAGAATAAACCAAACTTTACATATAATTCTTTTTTTTATAATTACGTAAAATATGATAATAAAGGAATTGAATTTATAGATAAAATATTAGAAATTTATGAAGGAAAAAATTATGTTAATCTAGAAAAAGAAAATAATTATAATAGTAATATATATATATCATATAATAAAAACAAAATGAACAAAAATTATTTTACTAATAAGGAAGGCACACCCTTTCGATTAGTAGAAAATGAATGTAAATATAAAATATGTCCTCCCAATTCTTTCTGTTCTATTCATAAATTTAAAGAAAAATGTTTTTGTTTTCTAAATTATACAATGATAGATAACAACTGCTATTTAAATAAAAATAACACATGTAAGATAAAAAATGGTGGATGTGATGATAAAGCAAATTGTGAATTAAAGAAAAATAAAATTTATTGTTCATGTCCTTTAGGAACAGAATCTTTACACGAAGGTGTTTTATGTAGTTTATCTATGTTTGAAAAATTTTCAAACTTTTTTATTTTTTTATTGATTTTAATTTCGTATTTTTTGTAATATTCAATTCAAATTTAAAAATAAATACTTTTTTTAGGTAAAATTTTAACAACAATTAATCTATAATTTTTTATACGATTTAATCCTACTTTCTTTTTTTTTTGTTTTTTTTTTTATAATATTTGAATATACGAAAATTTTCATAAAAAATATTCTATTTACATAAATATTTTTATTGGTGTAATTTTTAAGCTTTTCATTTATTATATTTTTTTGTTGAAATACTTTATTGAAACTTATTTTCATTTTTAATGTTTCATTATTATATTTAAATTTCTCACTTCATTTTTTTTTATTATTATTTTATTTTTATATTAACTTATTTTGCTTTATTAGTATTATTATTATGTTTTATATGTTATCTTACTTTTTTCTAAATTACAATGTTTATCCTTACATTTATTTATAATAAGGTTTTTTTTTTTTTTTTTTTTTTTTNGTGGTCCTCTTTTTTAAGTTTTTCTTTTCTATAAATTTTTTTTATACAACACATAAATTTAAAAACTATTATTACATATGATAATTTTTTTATTTTTTATTTATAAAATGCATAAACCTTTTTCAAAACATTTTTCAATATTTATAAATTATTAAGCAAAAAGGTTTATTTTATGGTTAACTCTAGGTAGTATCATTAGATACATTCTACAAAATGAAAGAAAAAGAAAAATATAATTTTATTAGCTTTTTATTAGCTATAAACAAAATTAACAATTAAGTTTTACACTGAAAAAAAAAAAAATAAATAATAAGGAAAAATTTCACTCAATATAATTAATATATGTGTTAATTATTAATATTTTTGAAACTTTTCTTTTTTAGTAACTTTTATTTTTACAACTATATAAGATTAGGTAAATTTTAACCCGTTACCCTAATTATTGTTCTAAAAAATTTTCTTACACACATTTAGATAATTTCTAATAAAACATAAAGAAATGAATAATCAATAATTCCTCTTATTTTATGAATTAATATTCCTGCTATATTTATTAAATTTTTATAATACAAAATTCAAATCATTTATTAAACATTCAAATATCTAGATACAAAATCTTTTAAAAATAATATTCTAACTGAAAGATATAGAAGGAAATGAAATCATAACTTTGTTAGTTTTTCACTTTTAGTATAATTTATAAATAAAAAAAAAAAAAAACTGTAAAATCTCTAAAAGTGCAATAATAATTAAGAATTGTATAAATAAAAGAAATAAAGTTATTCTAGTTATCTTTTTTTTAATGTGTAAAAATTTTTTTATAAGAGTCGACAAAAAAAAAGTGCATTAAATCAAGAGAAAAAATAGGCTTATTCAAAAAAAAAAAAAAAAAAAAAAAAAAATATCATATATGTAATACTATTTTAACTTTTTATATATTACAGAATATTTTGTTTTGTAACGTTATACATTAGTTTTTTGAACTATTTTTTTCATAAAAATTAGGGCACTCATTTAATCCTTTAGAAAGGGAAAAAAAAAATAAAAAAAAAATTTAAGTTTTTTTTTCTTTTTTTAATATTTTATAATTGAGAGAAAAAATTTAAAACTATCTTTATATAAATAATTTACAACTAAAAATATTAATTCTAAGTAAATAATTTTACATTTTTTTTTTTAATACAACTTAATAACTTTTATAAAATTTTTTTTTTGTGAAACACTTTTTTTGAAGTATTAAATTTGTTGATAAGCATATTCGCTTTACACATTTTAATTCATTGTTTTAAAGTTTATTTTTTTTTTTTGTAAATCATATCTTATAGTAAATTAATTATTTATGTGAAAAATTCCACTTATAAAATGCAAAAACAATATATATTTTTATTAAGTAGTTATTTATATTAAATACATTTATCCTTTTTCTAATCATATAAATTCAACAATGAAAATAATTTTTTTTTTGTTTTTTTTTGTTTTTTTTATCACTAATTCTTATGGAATAAATGAAGATGAAAATTATAATGATCTTATTAGTAAGTTAGATAAAATAGAAGAATTAGTTGTACAAGGATATGATATATTTAAAAAAAAAAAAGTAGAAGATAATGAAACATCAAAAAAATTAATACTTAGTTTCATTAAGAAAGTTGAAGAACTAAAATTTCCAAAACTTGAACGTTTATTAAAACATATATCTACTGTAATTAAAGAAAAAAATGGATTGACATATTTAATTGAAAGATATGAAGAATTTGATGAATTAATGAATATGATAGATTTTTACTTTGATTTATTAAGAGCAAAACTTCATGATATGTGCATGCATGGTGTTTGTAACATACCATTTTATCTTAAAATTGAAAATAGTGAATTAAATATTCTTAGAGAGGTAGTTTTAGGTTATAGAAAACCTTTACAAAATATTAAAGATAATTTAAAAAAAATAGAATCCTTCGTTAAAGTTAATGAAGATACTGTAAAAAAACTACAACAGTTGACTACTACAGCGAATGAAACTATAACTAGCAAACAAGGCAGCCTTAATGGCGATGAACATACCAATGTCGACAATAGAAAAGCTACATATAGAGCACAATATGATATTCTTTTATATAATAAGCAATTAGAAGAATCCCAAAAATTGATAGAAGTGCTAAATCAACACATTAAAAAAATAAAGGAAAATGAAGAAATAAAAAAATTACTTGAGAAAATTAATGAATTAAGTACACCAGAACCACAAATTGAACAAAATAAAACAAAAATTGCTGAACTTGAAGTTAAAATACAAGATATTGCAAAAACTATAGAACTTAATATAGATGGTTTATTTACAGATTCTCTTGAATTAGAATATTATTTAAGAGAGAAAAAAAAAAAAATTACTAAAAAAACAAATCCTGAAGATCCTCAAGAAAGTATAGACGATATAATGATTTCTGACTTTTCAAATGAAGTATATCCTAATGGTATTGAAAGACCTATGACAGATAATAATATTAAAAATATAATAAAGAAAGATGAAGAAGAATCATCTGGTAACTTGATTGATCCACAATATGGGAATCCAATAGAATCAGAAGATATTTTCGCAGATGAAAATTCATTAAAAACTTTTATGAATAAAGTTAAAGAGAATATTGAATCATTAAAACAGATATTATCCCATTCAAAAACTAATTACGACAGGACGCATAAATCATATAATGAGGAAGCAAAAACATACAAACCATTAATTGAGGAATTTTATAGATTAAAACGCTATAATGCTCTTAAAGAAAAACAAGTTACGGATTTAGTGTCAAAAAGAACCTCTTTTATTTTAAGTAAAAATAAGTTCAAACCAATTGCAGTCTTTTACGAAGATTCTGAATTGTTTCTTGAAAAATTGGAAAAACAATATAAATATTTAGAAGACTTTTTAATAAAAAAAGAATTTGTTAAAAGAGAGATTAGTTATTATATGAAATTAAAAGAAAAATTAGAAGATGAAATTAATCAAATAACACAAAATATAGATGAAAATGAAAGAGAATTATTACAAAACCCTAGTGATATAGATGATATTTATGAAGATTTACAAATAAATAAAGAGTTGCTAGCCGAAAAAATAGAAGATTTAAAAAATACAGAACGTTTATTAAAGAATGCTAAATTCAAAGAAAAACTTAAAGTTCCAAGTGTATATAAATCTAATAAGAAGTCAGAACCTTATTATTTAGTTGTTATAAAATATGAAGTTGATAAAATGGCAAATCTTATACCAAAAATAAAAAATATGTTAGAAACAGAAAAAGGAAAATTAGCAGAATTAATGAAATCTACAACTACAGGAGAAACAACTTCACCAGAAGTCGAAACTTTACAAAGAGATGTAACTGTCGGAGGAGAAGATGAACCACAAACAGACTTAGGAACAGGTACGTTACCACAAAATACAGTTACAAATGATTCGGAATCATCAGATGCTTCTAAAATATTATCACCACCAAGTCCAGATCAAGTACCTATTACGCAAGAACCAACCTTACCAGTACAACAAAATTCAGAAAATACTGAAAATCCTGTAGAAACAATAAGAAAAAAAATAGATTTTTTTGAAAAATTGCATAATTTCTTAAACACAGCATATATATGCCATAGAAAAATTTTATTATCTAACTCAACAATGAGCGAAAGTTCATTAGAAAAATATCAATTTACTGATGAAGAAAAAAAAAAATTGAATTTATGTGATTCATCAGATTTATTATTTAATATTCAAAATAAGATGCAAGTAATGTATTCTATGTATGATGATGCAAACAATGATTTACAACATCTATATAACGAAATGTTTCAAAAAGAGATAATTTATAATTTATATAAACTAAGAAATAATGAGAAAATCAACAAATTATTAACACCTTCACCAGAAACTGAAACTCCCACATCTCCAGTTGCACCTCAAGCAGATCAAAGAACAGGTGAACAATTAAGAAGAAACGAAGTAACTATTCAATCAGAAAATGTACCAGGTCAAGAAACTCAATTAGTGAGTGGAAGTGACGAAACACAGCCACGCACTACAGCACCCAACGGGGATATGCAGGGAGATGAAAATGTTTCAGGTACTCAAGGAACTTTAGATACTGTAGAAAATGTTACTACAGAAGATCACACACAAGACAAAAACATTTATAAATCGTTTTTACTTCAAAATGAAACATATGAAAATGAATATTTTAAAAATTTTGTAAATTCTAACGCAGAATTAATTAAAGGAATGAATGAGCAAAAAGAGCAAGAATTACTTAACGAAATTAATGAATTAAAAAGAAAGATAAATGTATCAAATAATAATTTCGATAAATATAAATTGAAATTAGATAGATTAATGCATAAGAGGAATGAAATTTTACGTTATAGAAATGCTATTAAAAGAGTTAATAATTCAAAAGAACAATTACACAAAAAATTAAATAGACTCAATAAATCAAAAAGCACATTGGAAGAATTCACTGTATACTTTGATAAAAAAAAGGAAATTGAAAAAGCAGAAATTCAAAATTTGTTACAAAATAATGAAGCATTAATGAAACATTATAAATCAATTATAAAATTTTATAGTGGTGAATCATCTTCATTAAAAACCATAAGCGATACCTCAATTCAAAAAGAAAATAATTTCATAAATTTAGAGAATTTTAGAGTAATAAGTAAAGTAGAAGGAATAAAAAAGAAAAATATTAATTTAGAGAAAAGTAATATAGGTTACTTATCAAGTTGGTTACATCATTTGTTGTTAGTATTAAAAAAACTTGTAGAAAATATTGATTATTCAGGTGATAATCAACATGATGTAATAGTTAGAGAATCATTAGAATTCCATGCCGAATTAATTCCAGAAAACCCAAAAAGAAAAGAAGGGGAACCTTCAGGTAGTGCTGTAAATGCAGAAACAAGTGGGGTTACAACTAACGTAGAAGCTCAAGGAACAGAACATCAACAAACTACATCTCCATCGACTACAGATACTTCAAATACACAAGGTGCACAACAATCAGGAGCAAGTGGTCAAGGAAACAGTGGAACTCAAGGAGGCAATACAATTGATAGTAGTTCTCAAACTGATTCTGTTACTGCTCAAAGTGATTCAGATCAAATAATAGAAGGAACATCACAAGATGATCAATTTGATAATAATGTCCTTTCCGGTGTTCCATATGCAAATACTTATAAATATTTGAATTCGATAGCTACAACATATATAACTTTAAGAAAAGAAATAAGAAGATTTATTGATACATTCAGTGATAACATTATAGATATATTAGAATCAAACTATGCAAAAAGAAGTTATTTCTTAGAAGTATTGGATTTTGATTTAATTTCATATAAACATGCATCTTCTTCAGATGATTATATTATTGAAGATCCATATAAAATGCTAGAACCAGAAAAAAAAAGTAAACTTTTAGGAAATTATAAGTATATATTAGCATCAATAAAAAAGGATATAACATTTGCTAATGAAAACATAGCATATTTTACAAAAATGTCTGAAAAATATACACATAATTTAGAAGAAATTAAAAGTATAATTGAAAAAAAAAAATTACAGAATGAAAAACTTCTTCCTTTTTTAACGGACTTTAATAAACTATATGAAAAATTAATAGATAGTGTCACACATTATAAAAGTTATTTAAATACAATGATTGCTAACTTTGAGAAAGAAAAATCAGCTATGGAAAATATAGTAGAAAAAATCACAGAAGAAAAAAATATTGATACGATAATAGAAACTTTAAAAAAGAAAAAAGAACAAGATGAAATAATAAATTCAGGTAGTCATGGCGCAAATGGAAAACTTTCACCTAATGAACATAATATGCGTAAACAATTATGGATGAAATTTAAAAAATTAAGAATTATTAATGATGACATTACCAATACACTTTTTTCAAATTATATGAATAAAGATCTTGGAGAAATATATGAACATATTTCAAAACATAAATGTTTAAAAACAGTTTGTCCCATAAATGCTGGATGTATTAGACGTTTAAATGGAGAAGAGGAATGTAGATGTTTTTTGAATTACAAAAAAGATGGAAATATATGTATTCCTGATGAAAATGCTTCTTGTCAAATTAATAATGGTGGATGTGATGTGAATGCAAAATGCTTAAATAATGAAAATGAAATTAGTTGTATTTGTAAATTAAATGGTTCTTATCCTATTCATGGAGGAATATTCTGTAGTTCTTCAAACTTCTTAAGTATATCATTTTTACTAATTATTACCTTAATTTTATATAACTTGTTTTAATAAAAGAGAGGAAACAAAATAATATAAAAATAAAAATATATACTTACTTTTTCATTTTAAATATTAAGTTTTTTACAACTTAAAATTTTAATGAAAATCAAAAAAAATATATATTAATATATTGGTACTTGTAATAATAATTAATCTTTTAAATAGAAAAAAAAAAACGGTTTATATATAACAAAAATTATTAAAATTTTTAATTGTAAACTTTATCTGCTTTCACAAATGTAAAAATAGTGTAATATATATAATTTAGCTAAAAAAAAAAAAAATCAAAAAATATTTTTTCTTTTTTTCATTATTGCAAAACTTTTTATGTTTTATTTTATTTTTTTTTTTTTTTTTTTTTGCTTTGTAATATAATTTTTTTAATGTTATTTTTTATTTATTTTTTTTCTTATATATATATATATATATATATATAATATTAATTTTTTAATGTTATTTTTTTTTTTCTTTTCTTTTTTTTTTGTATATTTGAACACAAATAATATTTAAAAAAATTTATTCGATAAAATGATTGTTTGTCCTAAATAATATGAAGTTCAACTATGGATTAAAAATTAATTTTGTTGAAAATTTCCAAATTTTAAATGAAAACAAAGAAAATGATGCAAATATGCTCAATTCAAATGAAAATATCAAAAACATTTTTCAAAAAAATAATTTTAAAAAAAATAATAAATATATGAACTATTCAAATGAAAAAAAAAACAATTCACATGATTTAAACAAACATATTTCTTTTAAAGAAAACATTAAGAAAATTGTTTCAAAAAAAAATGATTTTTCATCATTAGAAAACAAAGATGATTTTTGCGATGAAATAGATGTTGTAGATAAAAAAATCAATAAAATGAATAAAACTGAAAGTATTCACTGCACTAATAATTTCTCTGCCAACTCTTTAAAAAAAAAGAGTTATATAAATGAATGCAATGACTATAAGAAAACCTCTCACGATAAGGACTATTATAAATTTAATAAATTCGTTAGAAAGGAAAAAATCCCTTACGAAAACTCAAAAAATAAAAATATAAATAACCCTCACAATTTCACAGAAGAAAATAACACAAGTGAAATTAAAGTAAGTGAAAATATAAATGATATGATTAATACATTAAAAAATACTTTTAAAAATAATAATAATGAGAATTATAACAACAATAATAAATTTAAAAATAGTTTTATAAATGTAGAAGGTAATGTAAATAAAAAGATTTATACAAATAACATTTATAAAAACACAGATGTTAAATTAAATAATTACTATACCAATTCTTATAAAGTGAATCATAAAATTCATAATAATTTTTATGATAATGGAAATATAAACTACTTCAATTCATATAATTTCAATAGAAAAAAATCTTTTAAAAAAAATCAAAACATATACAATAATAATAATATAATTAGAAATAATCAAGTTAAAGATAATGAAATTAATGAAAAAAGTAATAATAACAGAAATGATTGTGAAAAAAAGAATAATAACAATGATAATGATGTTAAAAATATTGAAGGAAATAATAGTAAAATCACAGATAATATAAATAAAAAAAACTATTTTAATAAAAAGTTTAACAATAGATATTTTTATAATTATAATTTAAATAAAAGTTATTCTAATTACAATTTAAAAATAAATAACAAGAAAGATAATAATCCTTACGCAAAATACAGAAAGAATGAATTCTCTAAAACTTCTTCTGACAAAAATTATATAAATAAAAATTTAAAAAATGAAAATAAAAATATAAACAATTTAAATATAAATGAGAACAATTTTAATGAAAATAAAAGTTTTATCTTGGATAATAATAATAATGAAAAATTTGAAGAACATTTTAAGTTTAAAAATAATGAAGGTGATAATTTAAACGAATTAAATGTTTTATTTGCACATAATGCTAATAAATTAGAATTTAAAAAAGAAAAAGAAACTAGCAAAATTGAAAATGAATGTGTGAATATAAATGAAAATCAAAATAAAAATACAATTGAAAATCTGAACAAAAATATTGATTCAAATGAAAGTGAAAATAAAGGTGACGAGAAGGTTGAAAATAAAAATATAAAAAAAAATGAAAATGAAGATAATAAAAAAAATGAAATTTTAAATGAAACAAATTGTAGTAATATAAATGAGGAATTAAAAAAAAAAAAAAGAGAAGAAGAGAAAAAAAAAATAATGAACTGGAAATCGGAAGAACAAACATTACTTGAGGAAGGATTAAGAATTTATAAAAACTTAAAAAATTGTCCAGAAAAATGGATGAAAATTAGTGAAATTGTAAAAAGTAAAAACCCTGATGACTGTATGAAGCGGTTCCTTTATTGTAGATCTATTGTTTTAAAAGAAAAAGAAAAAATGAAAAAGGAGTTGGAAAAAGTGAAGGAAATAGAAGAAAATGAAAAAAATGAATATAAAGAAAATAGTAAGAAAGGTATAAAAAATAATGAAGAACTTGAGCAAGATATTGATAGTGATGACATGAATATTAATAATAATATAAATATTAAAGGAAAAAGCTTACTTTTGAATAATGTTCAATTAAAAAACATATCAATGTATAAAGCAGTATCATTAAAGTAAGTGTATATATATTTATTTATTTATATATTTTTCAATAGAGAGAATCTTTATGTATACCTTTTTTATAATTATTTAGGTTACAATTAGTTTGTACGAGATGTTGTAATACATTTGAAGTAACATCAACAAGTAAAGATGATTCGCAATTAGGTAGATTACTAATTTTATATTTTACATTTTTTATTTAATATATATATATATATTTTTTTTTTTTAATTTATTCTTATATAAATTTCTTTTTTTTTTTTTTTTAAAATATAGTTTGTAATTGCATAAATTGTTGTAATAGTGCAGTTATTGAAATTTATAGAAATATATGTTTTTTGGAAAATAGCTGCGTTTGTATTTTAAAATTTAACCAGTGTTCATTAATGGTAGGGTAAAAATAAATAATATATAAAATATAAGATATTTATGTATATTTATACATTAATCTTCTCAGGATTTGTTAACTGCTGACTACAGTATGAATTGTGAAAATTGTGGTAGAAAAAGTATTTTCAAAAATGTCACATCAGGTATATTATACTATAATCTATATATATATATATATCTCCTATTATATATATATTTTAGCATTTTTTTTTTTATATATAAGATATATATATTTTTGTATGAACTTCATATATATTTTGTATACATGATATACAATATACTAAATATTTTAATTCTTTTAGGTAAAGAAATAAATGCTAATTGTCAGAATTGCTTCACTAAATTAGAATTTAAATATAATGATTTTTCGTTTGACGAAATGATTAATGCAAATAATGATACTATAAAAAAGTAAAAATAAATAATATATATATATATATATATATATATATGTTTATTTATTTAACTATCATATATCTTTATTTTTTTTATATTATTAGAATCGACGAAATGATAAATAAGTTATTTACAAAAAAAAAATCGAACAAAAAAGTGTTAAGTATATCAAATAATTTAAAAATAGAAAAAAGTAAAAATGTTATAAAAATAAATAATATAGAAGTTAATAATGGAGCATGTAAACATTTTAAGAAATCTCATAGGCTATTTAAATTTCCTTGTTGCAACAAAGTAGATTTATACATTTCTTTAATAAGATATTTATATTTTTGTTCTTTTTTTTTGTAGCTATTTCATAATTATTTACTTTTTTTTTTTTTTTTTAAAGATATTTCCTTGCCCTACTTGTCATGATTTAAATAGTAATCATGAATGTGATATTGCTAGAAGAATTATATGTGGGTTTTGTTACAGGGAATTCAGTGATGATGAAGTTTGTGTGTGCCAAAAAGAAAAAAAAATTAAAAAAAGCGGAAAATTTTGGGAGGTTTGTAAAAAAAAAAAAAAATAATTACACGTATTTATATACATATATATATATATATATGCATTTATTTTTTTTAAGGGAGGAAAAGGTTGTCGTAATGCAGTTACATTAAGTAAAAATGATTCAAAAAAATACAAACTTTTAAATAGACAAACTACACAAAAAAAAAAAAATAAAAAATAATTTCTAACTTACTATATATATATTGACTACAATTTTTATAAATCTTAAAAAAGAAAATAAAATGTATAAGAATAAAATTTATATTATAATTTTAATTTTTCATTTTATTAACATTTCGTTGATTTTATATGACGATATATTTATTTTTTAAAAACACAAATGAAAAGAAATAAAATAAATATGTATATTTTTTTTTATGATTAATACATACACATAAAAATATATCAAGTAAAATTAATAAAATAAAATAAAATAAAATAAAATAAATGAATGAATAGGGTAATATGTACTTAAATTTTCAATTATATTGATGTTAATTGTAAATACAAAAAAAAATATTTTAACTAAAAAAAGAAAAAAATTGCTTATTAAGCAAATTTTACTTCATATTATATCCTTTGGTGACAAAAACAAGCATTGGCATCTATTAAAAAAAAAAAAGAAGGGAAATAAAATATACTATGAACACTTAAATTCAAAATTTTTTTTTTTTTTTTTTTTTTTTTTTTTTTTACTTGTGAGTAAAATGTAATTTATGCATATTTAGAATTCCGGGTTCTCCATCATATTGGAAGTATATTTTATTTTTATTTTGAATAAACTTTCTATTTATTTTAACTACTATATCACTTCCCTGGCATAATTTGATTGGTTTAGATATCCCTATTTGTACTTGAACTAAATGGAAAATATTTCTAAATCCAATAACTTCAATAATTTTATCATTAATTTTTTGTTTACGATATTTTTGTTGCACTTTCTTTTGTTTATAAAAATCTAATCTATATGATTTATATATGTTTCCGTGATCATAAATGTTATCATTTTTGTTATTTTTAAATTTCTTTTCATCTTTATTAATAATTTCGTCTTTCTTTAGTTTAGAACATGTATTTTCATTATTACATTTATATTCACATGTTTTCTGGGTATTTTTTTTTTTTTTTTTATTAATTTTATTAGCATTTAATTTATTATAAATTTCATCGCATCCTTGAAATAAATCACTACTGCTTGAACGACCATCATTACTGTTATTAAAGTAATCTGTCGATGATTTATCATCTTTTTTAAATAGCTTTTTTTTTTTTTTTTCACTTTCAATATCTGAATAATAATTTTTTTCTAGTTCATCATCTTTCCATATTTTTATTCCTCCTAAAAAATATGGTATATTTATTATACACACACCTTCTAAGTTTTCATCTAAATTTACCTTTTTACCGTCACAGTATATTTTTATATTTTTATTTAGTTTATACTTATATGTATTAAAACAAATATCTCTGAAACCTACTTCACCATATAAAATTTTGTTTCCTATTCTGCTATTAAAAAAGTGAGGAAAATTTCTTCTTAAGTTATCAAAATGTAATGCTAATCTAGCTATAATCCCAATATCACAATAATTAATGAAGCTATTATTTAAAATTAAATTATTATTTAAATCATATCCTTTCATATTCCATACATCAACTAATTCATTCCTACTAAATTTTATTTTATTTAAATAAAAAAACAAATCACTATTATATTCAATCCCCCATCCCAAACTTACGCTCAAATCATTGCCAGTACCTAATGGCATTATGCATATTGGTGTTGTAGAAATGTAAGAATCTAATAAATAATTTTTACTTCCTTTTTTTAATTCTTTATCATTTTGAATAACACTCATGTTGTTATTATCACTGATATAAACTTTATTTTTTTCACATTTAATATCATTACTTTTATCGTTATTACTACTATTATTAATATCTTTCTTATTATCATTATTTTTAATTATCTTATCACCTTTAACACTATTATATTTTCCGTTACTAAATTTATTTAAACTGTTATATTCTTTATTCAAATCATTTTTAGTTTTATTTATATTTTTATTTAAAAAATTTTTTTGTCTCGTATCACTTTCTATGTTAGCTTTCTTATTCTTTTTTTTTTTCTTTTTACATAATACAGATGTATTATTATTTAGAGTTTTTTTCATATTTGAATTATTTGATGAACTATTACTATAATCACTATATGTATTGTTATATCTTTTTTCATTTTCTACAGATATAGAAGATATATAGGAATTTTCTAACTTTTCTACTTTATGATTGTACATAAAATTATCATTTTTCTTCGACTCATGTTCCAATGAATGCTCATTCTGAAAATTTTTTTCAACAGAATCATCATAAGGTGCTTCTACATTTTTATTTTCAAAAAAATTAAATTTTTTAAGATTATATCCATACTTAATATTTTTAATAACATTCTTTTTTAAATTAAAATTAGCATTATTATCATGAACATCACTTTTATTATTATTATTATTATTATTAGCAATAGTAGGCGTGTTAATAATATCATTTATTTTTCCATTTATATATTTTTCGTGAATATTACAGTTTTCCATCCTTCTTTTATTTTGATCAATATTAACATATGTATTTATATTTTCTTTATGTGTGTTATTATTGGCATCAATTTCGCTATTTTCTTTTATGGAATTTTTGAAAGATTCATTTAATTGAATACTTTCGTTACTGTTTTGCTTGTTTCTTAGCATGTCTTTATTACCTTTAATTTTTTCTGTTACATTAGTAAAATTTTCACATTTAATTTTAATTTCTTTATTTTTTTCTTTAAATAAAGACATTTCTTCCTCTAAAAAAAAATTTATTAAGGTATCAATAAAAATGCTTATAGTTCCATCACCTCCACATATAAGTAGAATAATTTTTTTTAAATAAAACATCTCTTTAAATATATTTAGCACATTTAAAACATTTTTTTTATTTATTATATTTATTATTTGTATAGGATTAAAATACATTAATAATTCTTGGTATAAATTTTTTCCTATTTGACCTCCACTTTTTACGTTTACAAATATTAAAAGAAATTTTTTGTTACTATTTATTTTGTAAATTGGTATATGAATAGGAAAAAAATTTAGTAAAAAGTTAAGATTAACTGAAACTATATATTTTTTTTTATTCTTAGTATGTAGAAAAAAATTTAAATTATTTATATAATCAAAACATAACAGTTCGTTTATATTTCTTTTCTTGTTTGAAGATTGTACTATGTTTTCAAATATATTTTTTTTGTTTTTATGAAACTTATTAAAATCATTTATAGTATAATTTAAAACTAAATCATCATTTTTAATTTTCAATTCATTTATTTTATTGTAAAAATTTACTAAATAATCTATTAAAACATTTTCCTTAACTGATAGTTGATATGGGTACAATATATATTTATTATTACCATATGTACATATATTTTTGTTATTCTTTTCATTTTTTGTCTTTTTTTTGGCAAAATTCTTAGTTAAACACTTTAAATGAAAATATTTATTACACCAAATACATTTATACACATATTGTTTCACAAGCGCATGAAAAGAAAAAAAATAAAATTTTTTGTTGCAAATATCACATTTATTATTCCATGAATAATTTCTTAGTTTTATAAACTTGTGTTTATTTTTAAAAAATACACTCGTTTTACAGCTCATTAAATTAGAATTGGGTGCACATTCTATATGACATTGGTTTCTACAAATAACACATTCAAAAATATTTTTTTTATGAAAAATAAATGAATATATATTTTCTTCACATACATTACATAACTCTATTCTATTTATTGTTTTTAAATAAAATATATGTGAGCTATATGTTAAATAATAAAACCCGTTTTTTGTGTCTTCTATTTTTTTATCTTCACAAGACTTTGAAAAATATTTATTTGATGTCTCTTTATTAGTCAAGTAGTATTTTGTATTATTTAAAAATCCTATGTTTTTATTCTTTTTTTTAATCAATTGTAAATAAATATTAATTTTCTTCTTCTTTTTATTTTTTCTCTTTGCAAAAAAAATACTTAAAAATATTATACACAAACAAAATATTACTTTTAAAATGCCAATTTGTATTAAGTAATCTTTTAATTTTTTTAAAAATAATATTAAAATATTTAGATAAACATTTTTGTCAATATATACGAAATCTTCCATCTCTTAAGAATATTATGTAATGTATTTTTATGTATATATTAATATCTAATTTATTTTACATTTTATATTTTTCTACATAAGAATATTATTAATTCTTCTTTTTTTACGTCCATAACTATTCAACTTTTTAAAAAAAATAAACTATTGTAAAATGTCTGATTAATACAAAATCAATTTTTTTTATTAAATTTAATTTTATAAACATATTTCGTCTTATGCTGAATTTAAGATTTTCAAGTGTATAAACTGGCAATCTTTAACACAATATTTTTGTTTATAAGTGCTTTTTATTTTTTTAGCTATTTCATAGTAATTGTAACTTTAAAAAAAAAAAAAAATCCTGTAGATTTTTTACTTATTCAAATAAAATATTAATGAAAATTTAGTTTAGCATATTGTTAAAATTATTTATATAAATATTTTGTTATTTTACTTTTTTTTTTTTTTTTTTTTTTTTTTTTTATATTTTTATATATTTTAAATTTTCCTTAATTTTATTTCATATTTTCTTTGTATCTTTTTTTTTCTCATTTAGAATCTAAATAAATAGAAAAAAAGTTATGGAAAGAGTAACATAATATAAAAAAAAAATTTACATAAAATTACAAATTTTCAAAATAAATATGTAATGTTTTTTAGAAGTAAATTTTAAAATTAAGATAAATTTAATTTTATATAATTTAAGAATAAAAAAAAAAAAAATTCCAAAAAAATAAAACGTAAAATAAAAAAAAAAAAAAAAAAAAAAAAAAAAAATATTCATTAGTGAATAACAAAAAAATATTTTAAAGTCGTTATAAAAAAAAATATAACATAAAATTCATTTGAAATAGAAAAAAAAAAAATCAGACTGTAAGTAGTATATTGTTTTTTTATTTAGTTTTATTATTGTTATATTTATTTTATCACCAAAATGAAAAATCCATTTTTGTTAATTTTGAGCTAGTTTCTTTTTTTAATATATTTAATCTCTGTTTATTTAATTCTTCATCATTATTTAAATGATTGCTTCTTTTTATTTCATTCCAATTTATGTATTTTCCTACATTATCATTTTTATTTTCTACAAAGTTTTCATCATCTATGAAGCTTCCTATATTTTCTTGTAAGCTTACTTTTTTTTCTTCAGTTTTAATTTTTTCTTTCATTTCTTTTATAACATCTTTAAATGGATTAGTATATATAATGGTTTCATTTAGACTATAATGCATCTATAATAAAATATATAAATATAAATATAAAATGTATATATAATTTTATTAAAGTTTTTAATTTTTATTTTATTATTTATTTTTTATTTTATTTTTTTTTTTTTTATCCTTTATTATATTACATCATTATTTATTGCTGAATCTAAATTTTTTAATTTAATTAATGTCTCATTTCCTCCTACGACTATAATAAAAAAAAAATATAAGAAAACCTTTTTTAGTATTAAAGAGTATAATTTTATCTTATAATAAAATATATATATATATATATATATAAGAATATATTTCATACTGTATATAGAATTTACCTTTCCCTATACATATATCATTAGTTGTGTAATTTTCAGTTAAACATATGTAAAACATATTTGAATATTTTTGGTTATAATATTTGAAGAAATAAATGTTACCGAAACAACTATTTTCTCCAATGTGTTTATTATCATTGTATTTTATATACTTAATATCTACATCACTATCATTATCACTATTTACACTCATTAATTTTTCTTTAAGTTTTTGAATATTTACTTCATTTAATTTATTTCTTAAATTATTTTTTTTCAATTTTTTCTTCCAATAAAATCCTGATGCTGCGCAATGAAAATTATTTTTACTTGATCCTAAGTAAACAATATCTTCATTTTTTTTAAAAATATCTGTGTTATTATAATATTTATATTCACATAAAAATAAAAAATTATGGCATAATTTGGGATAAATATGTGCGTATAACTCTATATTTATCATACCTATATCAGTTATCAATCTTACATAACTATTTTTTTTATTTTTATGAACTTTTTCATATACTATATTATAAACTTCACTTTCAGGAAGATAAATAAAATCGTTTTTGTATGTTATATTAGAAATAGTTGAAGTTACGCATTGCGCTAATTTATTATCGCTGTAATTTTTACATTTTATTTTTAATTCATTTTCACTACTGTCACTATCATATAGAGAAATATTTTTATCCCTTTTATTTAATTTATTAAATTCTTCATTTTCATATATATTTGTTTTCTTTAATTGCATTTCATTTTTTATTCCCTCTTTATTATGAATTGATATATTTTCGTAAGTCTCTTCTGTCTTAATAATATCACTCTCATTTTTGTACCTCATATCTTTTTCATTTTCTTTTTTTTTGTTTTTAACTTCTTCTAATATATTAATAATTGCACCATTTTCCTGAATTGATTGAGTTGTATTTTTATTTTTTTGTATAATTTCTTTATTTATTTCTTGTACTTTATTTGTATTCAGAGGATCTTGCAATACTATTAAATCTGATTTGTTCATATAGTCATGAGTGAGTGGATCAAACATTTCGTTCTTATTTTTGAACAATTTAAATATTTCTGATGAATAAACATTGCCTGTTTTTTTATTTAGAATAATTTTTGTATGCTTATTAAAATATTTTCTTGTTATAGGACATATGTATTCATTATTGTGTTTGTAAAAATTTGCTTTAATTAAATTCTTTATATTAATTGAATGTTCTGTTTTTTCATTATTTTTCTTCTTTTTCATTTCTTCTAATACACTTTTTTTATCATATAATCTTCCATTTTCATCGCAATACGGTTCATCAAATGGTGTTAAACTTATGCAACTAAAAAAATATAAATGATTATAAATATAAAAATATAATACTATTTATTTTTCAAAAGGTATATTGAACATAATTTAAATATGTTACATAAAAAAAAATGTATAATTTTATATAAATTATATATTTGTAGTTTTTATTGTTACGAAGTAATTAATTTCTTTGGATTATTTTATTATAAATCTTCTCACCAATAATTAAAAGGTAAATAAGTCGAATTTTGAGACTTAAAATATTTCTTTTTCACAGCATCTCTTCTATATTCTGATTGCAAAATATATAACTTATCCTTACTATGTTTATGTTTTCCCATTATAATTTTTTTTTTTTTTTATTTAAAGAAAATAAATTATTATAAGAATAAAATTAAAAATCAATAAATTTCTTAATTTCTAATTAAAATTATTATTTTTTTTTTTTTTTATAGTTGTTAATCATTTTTATTTAAAATTTTTTTTTTTTTTTCTTTTCATTCATAGCCACGATTTGCATAAAAAAAGTAAAATAAAAATAATTATAAAAAAGATATATGCATTAATAAGTTATTTGTAAAGATTTACTATTGCATTATTAAATTTATTTTAATTTTTTTTATATGTTTATTTATAAGTTTTATTATTTAACTATATTTTAAAAATTTTTCCTTCAACAAAAAGCAAATTTTTGAAATATATATATTTTTAATAAATTATGTTAAAATTTTTTTTTATTATAACATAAATAACATTATTTTTTTTTTAAAGAAATAATTAAAAGGTATCTTTTAAAATATTGATGTATATATGAAAATTTACGAATTTAGATGATAAAATCTGATGATTTAAATGGATCAATTGATAAATCAGGTGATTATAACAGCTTTTACATTGGAAACATATTCAGTGAAATTCAAGATGAAATAAAAAATTCATGTAATAATGAAAATGTAGAAAAAAAAAATATTCCAGAATATGAAAAAGCAATAAATAAAATAGGTAAAGAAAATAACATCATTAACAAAATAAATATAGAAGAATATATAAATTTTATAAATGATAAAAAAAATGAATACAAAAAAAAGAAAAAGGAATATGTTATTGAATATATTAATAAAAGGAGAATAAAAAAATTTCACTATAAAGATATGGAAACATTATTTAAAAAATATTCTCAATTTTTGGATTTTGAAGAAAAGTGTTTATTATGCAATAATTATTTATCATTATCATTTCTATATTTTAATAAACATTTAAATGAAAAACAAAATAACAAAAGAATAGTTAAATATAAATATGAAAATATTTTAAATTTTTGTGTGTGTTTAGAAAAAATTGAATATTCAAAGCAATATATAAGTGATAAAAAAGATTATAGTTACATTGACATGACTCACTTATTTAAACAAAACGCATCATTTTCCATTAATATTAAAAAAAATATTATTATAAAAGAATTTATTAAAAATGTGAAATTTACAGAATTTTATAAACATAATTCCTATAATGGCAATTATTATAATACATTTCCAATAAAAAAAAATTATAATATAGATACAAAATATATAAATATATGTAAATATATCGAAAAACCCAAATTAACAATTGAAGACGTAAAATCATTAAATAGTCACACAGAAAATTTCACTCCTGTTTTTGTAAGAAAAATATAAAAAAAAATAAAAAGTTTTTAATTTTTTTTTTTTTTTTTTTTTTTACTTTATATAGAAATAATAAGAAAATCAAAAATTACATATCAATTTTTTTCATCATTTTTTATTTTCTTTTTCAGAAAATTCATAATGCTAATATCCTTTTAACGACAGTTGAAAAAAAACTATTAATAGAGTGTCTAAAAGTCATTAAAAAGATATATTTTTATAATAAAATTGATAAATTGACTGTAATCATTTTTTGCTATTTAAATAATTTATATAACATTGTTATGAGGTTAAATGCAGAATGTATCTTGTGTTGTTATTCACAAAAGCATTTTGAATTTTTCTTATACGTAAGTGTGTTATAATTCATTTTTGTATAATAATTTATAAAAATGTTTTATATTTGCATATGCATATATATGTACACATTTTTATTACATTTTTTTTTTTTTTATTAGTATTTCTTTCAAAAGAACAGGCTTCCTGTTAAAAGAATGAAAATGTTAGCTATGAAAATTTACAAAAATGAGGGTGGACATGATAGTAAAAATGAAGATGAAGATTTCTAAAAATATTTATTTTTTTACCTTTTTTTTATTGATTTTTTTTTTTTTTTTTTTTTCCTATAAAGGAATCATTTGCTTGGAAATTCAGAAAATTTTACACATCTAATACTTTAAAAAAAAATTTATTGGTTATAAATATGCATACCCTTTTCTAGATAATTTAATATTTACATATTTTTACATCATCAAAAAAAAAAAAAGAAAAGATAAAATATATATATTTATTTATTTATTTTCATATTACATTAATAAAAATATGTAAACTTCATAAATTATTTTTTTTAAAGTAAATAATTGCATTAAATTTTCCTTAAAATTCTATTGAGTACAATACTTTAATAAAAAAGAAAAATAATAATAAAAATATTTGATGTAATTAAAAAATTCATTTAAACAATATAAAGAATTAAGAAAAAAGTTTTTTTTTTTTTTTTTTTGCAAATATATTAAGCAAAAAAATATATAATTAAAGCTATAAGTAAACAGTTAATAAAAAAACTTAACATTGAAATGGTCTCCAAATGTTATAGATTCGAAAGTACTATTGTTAATAAACTTTTTAAAGAAAATTTAAGTATAAATATTTATTTCAATTATTAATATATATAATTAAATATGCCATAATAAAAAAATAAAATTAAAGAACACCATTTTTAACTTTATGATAAAGAACACAATGTAATACTTTTTTGCTTATTTGATATAAAAATACAATTTTTCCTTTAAAATATTTTTCAATTTTTTTTTTTTTTTTTTTTTTTTTTTTTTTTTGTTATATCTATAAATAATTTTAAATTTATATTTAAAATAATTTTTTATATTTTTTTTAAAGTGTTTTTCCAAAAAATATGATATGAAGTAAAATCATAATTTCTAATTATATTTTCATATATATAAATTGTTATTATCTTAAATATTTATTCGTTAAATAATTTTAATTAATACATAAATTTATAATTATTATTATCATTAAATTTTATAATTAAATAATATACGTGTAATATGCTTTTATATTTCCAATAAAACTATATATTGTATAGTGTTTTATTTTCACCTTTGTTAAACTATTCATTCATTTTATAAAATGCGTTTATATTTATAATATTTTAACATTTGTTATGAACAATATAATTATATTTCCATTGTATAAAATCTATAATATATAAATGATGTGAATTTTGTAAGTGTTAAAGAAAAAAAAAATAAAATAAAAATATAAATAATACTACCAGTTGAAAATAACTATAATGCAAACACTAATGGAGTAAAAAATAAAGAAAATATAAAAAAAAAAAATAAAATAAATAAATAAATAAAAGCATATAAAAATAGTTAGCATTATAAATCATAATGCTATAACTTGGTGAAGTCAAAATGGGAAATTGTAAATCTTACTCTACTCATTTTAATGTGTACAAAAACAACACAAATGAGTTATATGAAAACTTAATATGTAATTTTATTAAGGAGGATAAATTATTTTTTTGTAGGAAGGCTTTTGTTGTTTATGAAAGTAAATATAAAAATTAAAATAATTTTAAAATACTATTAACCATGAAATCTACATATATACATACAATACATTTTTGTAAAAAATGAAACATTAATGTATTTAGATAATAAATATATTATAAAATAAAAACTAGTTAAAAAAAAAAAATAAAATTGTAGTATAAATCGAATGTTACATCAATTAGTTAATAATAACAAAATTGTATATACATAAAAAACAATATTTATTCTATTTAAAAATTATCATAATTCTTCAATTATTTTTAAAATAAATTTTACACATACTATTTCTTTATAAGCCTAATGAATATTCTATAAAAAAAAATACTCATTTATATATATAGTTATTCTATTAATTTTTTTTATTAATTAAGATTTATAAAAAGATTCTATTATACACACATATATATATTTATACATTTTTTTTTTTTTTTTTTTTATTTGTAGTTTTAAAAAAAAAACTTGAAAATTCAGATTTATATGTTTATTATATTATAAGCTCTGTTCAAAGAAAGAAAGTGAAAAATGCGGTTGCATATCTAAATGAAGATTACGATATCGAAGTTTTGAATTTTTTTTTAAAATTATTTAAAAGAATTAATAATGAATATTATAATAATATATTTAATTTTCATTTGAGTAGTTACTATAACTACCTTTTTCGCGAGGATACCAAATTTACTAATTATTCTGAACAAATGAATTTATTAAGAAACATGTATGACTTCATACGCTTGAAATTTTTAATGGAAAATATCTGTTTACATGTATATTTTCAGATGTATGATAATTGCAATGAATATTATGAATGGAATGACAATTTTTTAATTGAAAAATTGAATAACAATGAAATAACATATGGAAAATTAAATGAATCATTACAATTAAATAAAAAAATAATGAGTATATCAATAGAAAAAAACAAAATTATGCATTTAATAAAAAAAAGTTTTAAAAAAATAGAAAATTTTTGTAGAAATATTTTGCATTGCAATATGTTTGATAATTTTAAAATGTCAAATGAATTTTGTTTATATATATTACTTAATAATTATAAAATTAAATGTATTTTATACAATATATTTAATATCTTGATCTTCATAAATAATTATTATAATATAGATACCAAAGATGGTATTTACAAAGATTCAGAGATAGAAATAGAAAAAGAAAAAGGAAATGTAAACTCAAAAAAATTATTTAATGATAAGTTAAACTATTCGCTTGAACACACAAATATTTATAAAACTTATTTGTTCATTTGTTTATGCCTGAGCTTTGATAATAAAAATGAAGAAGATGTATTATTTAATACACATATTAATATAAATCAAAATGAAATTAGTTTCACTAAATGTGTTAGTGAATATTTAGATATATGTATTTCAGAAAAAAAATTAAATAAGTTTTTCTCACAAGAAATTAAAGAAAAAAAAAAATATTGCTTTTTAAATTCTATACAAAATTCATATATGAATGATAGCTTAATAAATACTCATTATATATGTCAAAATCAATATATAAAGAGTATATTAAATATTGGAAATAGTAATTATTTTATAAAAAATAATATGATGGTTTTTTGTTTTATATTATTTGAAAATTCACTTTATGAATTTCCATGTATAAGTAATAAATCAAATATTACTGATCATTATAGTAAGTCATTTACTGGAATTAACAAATATTCTTTTTTGAAAAAAACTCGATCAAATGATAAAACGTTAACATTAAGAAGAAAATTTTGGAAAAAAGTTTTTCAAAATAATAATTTTGTACAAAATGTTAATGACGAAAATAAATCAGATATAAAAGGTTATACTTCAAATTCTGATTTTAAAAAAATTGACCATGTAGAATTTGACTTAAATAATATAGGATTTTTTAGAATTGATTTGTACAATCTTAGATTTGAAAGTGATGAAAACTTTCATGAAGACGTAGAAAAACATATAAAATTGTATACTATTAAAAAAAAAAATAATAGTTATATTTATGTAAAAAAAAAAGTAGAAAATGAAACTGATTTGAAACTAATAGAAACTATGAAAGATAATTATACACATGTAATAAATGTTTTAAAAACTATGAGAAACAAAGAAATATGCTATATTTCAGCTGTAAGTGATTCTAATGAGTCACTTAAGATAAAAAAAGAAAATGATATACAAGTAAATGGAAATATTGTTGGAATTAAACATAATGATTATTCTTGTAAATCTAAATGTAGTGATAAAATATTTAAAAAAGAAACAAAAAATATGAATTCAAAAAATAAGCATTTCAATTATATGAATTCAGGTTCAAAAATATATATTACTGAAGAAAATAATACTAAAATTTCAAATGAAAATAATGTTACAAAATCAAATTGTTATGAGAATATATCACAAGAATATGAAAAAAAATCTAATAACTCAAAAATAAGAAATAAATTAAAAAAACCTTTTTTTATAGGTATACATGACACCTTTGTTCCTTTTGAGATAGAAAATCTGATATTCAAACTAAAAGATTTTTACAACACCAATGAAAAGGTAACTAAAAAAAAAAATACAATTTATAAAGAAGAAATACATAATAATATGCGAACAAGCCTAGAACAAAAAGAGAATAATTCAGTATACGAAAATAAAAGAGAAAAAGAAAAGAAAATAACGAATAAAAATAAAAAAAATGAAGTACAACTGGAAAAAGAGATAACATATGAGAACAAAAATATAAAAGAAAATAGTAGTGTTGAATATGAAAATATATTTAATAAAGAAGATAACAAATATAAAATTATAAATAACAAAGAAAGTATATTTAAAAACGAAAATAGGGATATAGTAGAACAATGTGTGGTAAATAAACTTAAAAATAAATACAAAGAAATAAACGAAGAAAATAAAGAAAATCTTAATTTTAATGGGACATTTAATTTTGAAAATGATTCAGATACATTAGATTTTAATGAAGTTCATGAAAATCCTATTATGTTAAAATTATGGAAAAAGTTTAAAGATGAAGAAAATTTACAGGAAATATTAAAAAATTATAATATCAAAGATAAAAATGAAAAAATTCAAGAATTTTTAAATAAAATTGAAGTTTATAGTGAAATGAAAAATGAGAAAATTATGACAACTTATAAGAATTATCAAAATTCAGATATTTTCTTAGTTGATAATATGGAAACTATTCAAAATGAAAAGAATGTAAATATTAATGAAAAAGAAAAAGAAGAAGAAGAAAACTATTTAGAAATTGATCAAATAGATGTAGAAAAGTATGAAGAAAAATATGAAAAGAAAAGTATTGATTTTTTGAAAATATTTATTCAACATAAGAATATTGGTGAAATGAATTACTTCGTAAATAAAAAAAATATAAATATTTCTTTTAATATGTTTAAAATACATGAAGGAAAAAAAAAATTAATACTTAGTACATATACTAATTCAAAAAAAATATCTCTTAAAAATTATCATGAAGAGAAAATTGATTATAATATTACACTGAATAAAGATGAATGTTTTAAATATATAATAGACTTGTTGTTTCTACATTTAAATTATAACAGATTATATTTTATATATATCCCAAAAAAGTTAATAGATACTAGTAATATGAAATTTCCAAATGATTTATTTCTGAGTCATATGTGCTGTAATTGTGATATTATATTAGAAAATCTATATATTACACCAGGAGATTTACTAGGAAATTATATGGTGAATAATTATGTATCCGTTTATTTTGAAAAAACTAATTTTATAACACTCGTTTTATTTCTTTTATTTGATATAATAAAAATTTATAACAAAATAAAAAAACTACAATGCTATTTTGAAAGTATATGCAAAAAATTTATGAAAAATTTTCATGACTACTTCAACACAAGGCATAAAAAAGTAAATTATGATTTGTGTAAAATAAAAAAAAGAAAAATTTTATCAATTCCTAATGAACTGTTAAAAAAAAAAAATGTTAAAAAATCAGAGCATAATTTAAGTAATGATATTAATATTTCTTCTTCGAAGCATTACTCTAATTTTAGTGAGGAATATATAAGCGCAAAAAAAGATAATAATGTAGATAAAAAATCTTTAATTATTAACGTTTCTTCCACTTTAAATTCAGAAAATTACACAAATAATATTAATAATAATAATAACATTAATAGTAATATTAATAATAATGAGAATAATATATTTAATAATTATTACTTAAATAAAGCGAATAATGAAAATCCTTTTAATAATGGATATAAATACAAAAATATATATATAAAAATAATTGACTTGAAACTTTATGAATTTATTAATGATTATATAAATTACATAAAAGAAAATAATAGTTGTTACTCTTTATGTCCTTATATATTTGTTTACAAATTTGAAAGCCTATGTTTTCTTTTTATTCCAGTGTGTAATAACTTTTATTTAATTTTCTATCTCTTTTTTTTTCATTTTCTTAATTGTTCAGACTTTTTTAATTTTAGAAGATGCTTTAACGGAAGTAATAACCATGAATATATTTCAAAAATGAATTCTATATTGCCAAGTAATAATAACTTTTTGCATATTAATAATGTAATTAAAATATTAAATATCCATAAAAATAATAAAACATATATTAAATATATTTCATTGAATAAACGAATTGAGAATAAAAACATTCCCCAGTATTATAAATGGATAAAAAATAAAATTATTATTGACATAAGAAACTCTTTTTCTTCACCCTATTTTATTCGTACGAACAATTTTTGTAATTTCGTTGAAAATACAAATTTACATATAAATCTAAAGAAATTATACTTAAATAAAGATCATATATTTACTTTTAAATTGGATAAAAGGATAAAACAAAATGAAAAAATTTCAAATGTTAATGACATTATATATATGTTTAATCACTCTTTTAATATTTTTACATACCTCTATGATGAAAAAAAATCTACTAGAAGTAAAGAGTTATTTTATCATAGTAAATATATCATTATTCCTTATTTTGAAGACATATACATAAACAAAAATAATTTACATATATATTTGAAAATTCAAGAAACTCGTAGAAATTTCTTTAAAAGTGATAAAACATGTGTGAATCAGAATCAGAATCATAATCAGAAAAGAGATTATGAACAGTTTAAAAAAGAATCAAATAATGGAAACATGAGTAAAGAAGAACAAGTAAAAATTCATAAATACTCTTTTATTTATAACATATATGAAAATTGCAATGACACCTTTATAAATTATTTTTATTTCTTAATAAATAAATTAATATTAGAAGCAGTCAGTGAGATAAAATCAAATAATTTTTTAAACATTAGTCATCTTTTAAATTTATTAGATAAGTATGAAGTGAATTTTGATATTTATTTTTGGGTATTATACGATAATTATATGAATATTTACAAAAAATATTGTATCCATGCAGAACTAGTAAAATTTTTCAATAATAATAATCGAAATAAAACATATAATTTTGATTACTTAAAAAAAATAAAATATAATTGCTGTAATAAAAAAAAATTTTATATGAAAAGGATTTTAATATTTTCAGTATGTTTATTAGTATCCTTTATTTGTAAAAGAATTTTTGAGTTTTTTGTAACAGACTTAAATTATTCATATGAATATGTGTTGAGTAGCATATGCTTCTTCTTTTTTTCAAAAAACGCAAAAGAAAAAATAAATAATGATCTATACTTGAATATTCTAAAATCTATTTATTTTAATTTATTTTTTTCATTAAGCTTCGTTTTGCAATATATTCCTCTAAGAGTTCAACATTTAAATTTATTTAAAATTATAAAAAAGGTTAAAAAATATAAAATTATTTTGTCTATTTGTTTAAATTATGTCTGTGGTATAAATTTACCTTTTTACATTTTTTATGAAATTCAAAATATGCCCTACACTTTAATGAACGATTTTTTTTTATTTGAAAAGAAAATATGGAATATGAATGTTAAAAAATCTGAATTAATGGATTCAATAAATACTAATGAATTTGGAGAAAATTATTATGATGAATTTAACTTTAAAATTAAAAGCGAAAAGGAAAAAATAAATTGGATTAATGAAAATCTCGATTTTAGTGTTTCTAATGATTCCTTACATTTTTTTAAAAGTAAAAAAGTTAATAAGAAAATTTACAAATATTTTCATGAGAATTTTAAAAAAAATAAAAATTTAAATCTTATAAATCTTATTATTAAAATGAATTTTATTTCGTGTTTGAATATTTTTAAGTTTCATGATTTTCAACATGCTTCAAATAATATACTTAGTTATTTCAAGTATGGTAGTTTTCAGAATTTCAAACAAAACTGTAGACATGATGATTTATATATTATAATTTTTTCTAATTTTGTTAGTTTTATGTCATTATTTAGGAGTATAAGTAATTATGAAATAAATGAGTATCAAAACACAAGGAATTTTAGTTATTCAAACCATGATAGTAATGATTTAAAAAAAATTTCATCAAGTGAAAAATTAGATGTTACAAAAAAAAAATTAGAGTATTGTGAAATAAATGAATATTTAAAAGAACCAACTATGACATTAGAAAACAATTATAGTTTAATGAAAGTCAGTAGTGATTTACTTCCTTATGGAGAATATAATTTAAAGGAAAAAATGATTTTCGATATTTTGCTAAAAATAATAGAAACAAAGTATAGTTATTTATTAATTATTTTACCAATATTTGCAAAAGAAAATTTTAACTTGTTAACTGATGATTTAAAAATTTATCTAATAAATATTTTTTTTTTTATTTTCATTAGAACAGATAAATATAAAATATGTAAAAAGAAAAAAAAAAATAAAATAAAAAATTTAAGTAAAATAAATAAATATTATTTTAATAAAGAAGAAAATAATGATATATTTCACTCAAGAAAAAAAAATAGTGCTTTAAACAATTCGGATTCGGAAAATTTTTTCTTCAGCTCATTTGATTTTTCGAAGGACAATTATTTTGAAACAGAAAAAAAAAAACAGTTAGATAATGAAAATGAAACGAAAGATAAATATGAAAGTATATATGAAATTGAAACTGATGTTTCCGAATATGAAATGGAATCTGAAACGGACACTGAAATGGAAACTGAAACAGATACTAACGTAGAAACAGAAAATAGAAGTAAAAATGAAAATATAAATTATACATACTTTATCAATGAAGAAAGTTCATTTAATCATTTTAAAGATCAAATGAAAATTATTTTATTAGATAATTATCACAATATTTACCTAATAGAGTTTTTCCTTAAAATTGTTTTAAGAATAATTCCTTTTTATAATATAAAAAACAAAAATAAGCATATAAATGTGCTCAAATCATCAATTATATATAACTCAAAAATAATAATAAGTTTCTTAATATCATTTAAAAATATTATTTTATCAATGAAAAATAATTTCTATGTATTTATTTATTATTTCTTCGTAAATGGATACATATCACTAATTTTATTAGATGTGCATAGGGCTTTTAAATATTTTAAAAAAATGTTTCTCCTTATAATATTTTTTTTTGGAAATCCTATATTTTCATTAAATTATCACCCATTTCTAATATATGTGACTTATATTTTATATGTTTTAACAATTTTATCAAAGTTAAATTTAATAAATTTTTATAAAAATTTAAAGGAGAAAAAAATGATTGATGAAAGTTATGAAAAAATAAATATATATGATAATAATAATGAGAGGATAAAGGATCAATTACACTATAATAAAAAAATTGATTCAAATAATGTTTGGATGAAACAGAAATATGAAATATGGATGTATTTGGAAATAATTCGTAAAATTAAAAGAAATTACACAAAATTTAATAATAACATTTATTTAGTTCCTTTGAATTATTCTTTTATAAATATGAAAAAAATTTTTAGGAAGTACATAGAAGAAAAAGTTGAAAACTTTGGAAATATAAACGTTTATGAAATAAAAAAGAACTTTGTTAAAAAAAAAATAAATAATATAAAAAAAAAAAAAAACAATGATAATTTTTTTTTATTAAAAGAGATGAATATAAATGATAAATTAATAGATAAAAATTTACCTATAAACATTAATAATAATTTTGTAGCATTATATCCAACAGTTAAAAATGTTAAAGTTCCAAGAATTTATCTTGTAGAAGACATTTTTAAATCATTATCATCTAGTGATTTTGAAAAAAAAAAAAATTTCAGCAACCATAAAACATTCACAAAAATAAAAAATAACTCTAATAAAATAAAAGAATTTAAATGCCAAAATAAAGAAAAGAAAAATAATGAAGGTCTAAAACAGGAAAAGGAAGAAAAAAAAGAAAAAGAAAGAGAGAGAAAAAAAAAAAAAAATGTATTTATAAACCCTAATATTTTTCCAATAAATAATTTCCCTTATGAAAAATCTGAATGTATAAAAGATGAAAATAATAATAAATCAGTACATGGAATTGTTCATAAAAAAGATATAAGTAATGTATTATTATATAACTTAATATACATAAACAAAATGAATAGGAAATTAAATAATTGTAAATTCGTTTTTTTTAATTTTAAATATTACAATTATAAGAAAATAATTTCAAATGAAAATATTTACTATAAAATGATACTGGAAAATTTCAAGAAAAAATTATGCGAAAATTATTATGCCTATACTTTTGGAAATAATGAAGACGGAAGTCTTGCTATTGGAAAACCTTCTTACCTAAAGTTAACTCCAACTATTGGTTCAATAGGATATGAGAAAAATAAGAAGAGTGTAAAAAAAGGTACAGACTTTTGGTTTACAAATAATTTACAGTTAATTCCTATTAAAATTAAAAAAATATGTATGAATGAAAGTATGATATCTATAATTGATAAGAAACATAATTTATATATTGCTGGAAATAACACATTTACTGAAATAAAAAATGAGCTACTTTTCAAAAATAAAAATGGAAAAGCAAAATATAAAGAAAAACAAAAAAATATAGAAAATAATCCAATAAATATCAGTAATAAAATAAAAATTGATAAATTCTTTATAAATTTAAGGTTAAAAAAGATGAAAAAATATGGAAAATACTTCTTTGATTATAATAGCTCATCTTGCGATAGTGATAATCTTATATTTGGAAATTCACTGGAAAGTAAGGGAACTACAAATTTTTTAAAATCACATTTTCACAATGAAAAATTATATGAGCTCTATAAAAAAAGTGAAAATAAAATTAAATGTAACTCTTGTTTGTGTGCATCATTAAATTCAATATCTGATAACTTTAGTTCATGTAAAAGTGACATACTTTCTTCTTTTGATAGTGAAGATAGTGATAATACATATATTAAAGTTAAAGATAAGGAAGAAATAAACAAAAACATGAATGTAAATATTTTATTGAAAAGTGAAGATAAGTGTTTTTATGTAAAAAAGAAAAATTATTCTTTAAAAAAAATTTCAATAGATGATTTTAATATTTATAATAGTATATTGTATTCTTCATCATATGCAAATCAATATTTAACACAAATTCTACCTAATCAGAGACCATCTATCAAATCTTTGAAAAAATATTTTAAACAAAAATCTACAGAAAATGTGGATAAAAAAAAAAAAAATTATGAACATAATAAATATTCACAGAAAAAACAATTACAAGAACAAGAACTACAACAAGAAGAACAAGAACAAAGAAAAAATGATAAAGAAAGTTATAAGAAAAATGGAATAGCAAAAGGAAAGAATGAAAAAATATTACTAGATAACAACCAAAATAATAATAAATTCATATATAATTTTATACGTGACATAAAAACAAGAATCAAATTTACTGATATTTTTAACGGTTCAGATTTTGTTATATCAATAAATAATTTCGGTCATGTATATTCATGGGGGAATAATAAATATGGGTGCTTAGGAACTGGTGATAATATTAATAGGTACTCTCCTACCTTAATTAATCCTGGTCATTTTTTTTTGTATGATTTTGAAAAATTGCAGATACATACAAATTATAAAACAGAAATAAAAATAAAAGGAATAGAAAATATAAATAGCAGATGCTGTGAAAATATCTTATATAATTCCTTAATTCTAGATACAATAAAAAAGAATATTCATAATAAAAATATAAATTCACAGAATAATTTAAAAGAACCTAGTATAAAATATAATGAAGTTGATAGAAAGTTTTCCAACTCCAACAATTTTATAGGTGTAAATAAATGTAAAGATGAAGACTTCTTTACATTAAAAACAGATAATATATATACATCAGAACATATGTTTAATTTTGAAAACTTAGGGATTAAAAATATAACTATAAGCGTACAGAAAATATATGTTCCTATTAGTTCCATTTGTTGTGGAAATAATCATGTTTGTGCATATTCTAATGGATCTATATTTATGTGGGGTGAACAAAAATTAGGTCAAACATCTATTCCTTTTGAAAATATTTATTTCGACTTCAATAGAACCCATTTTTCGGATAGTGATTCAACTTATAAAAAAAATAATAATGAAAAAACAGAAGATGAAATAAATAAAAATTCGGAACTTTTATCTTCTTCTACATCATCTGATAATTACTACTTTCATGTGATGCATAAGAAGAAAATAGAGAATGGAAAAAATAAGTTTAACAAAAATAAAATATTATGTTGTAAAAAAAAATTCAATTTTAATGTTAAAAATCCAATTCAAAATTATTTTAACATAACAAATAATGATATTCTTCTCAATAACAAAAAATTAAAATTGTATTCTAATCTAAATTCAGTTAACACAAAAAGAAAAAAAATTAACAATGATTTAGTTCTTGTACCAGTTCAAGTTTGTTTATTCAATTTATCATACAGAATTAAAAAAAACAAAAGCAATATAAATAATAAATATGTTACAATAGACTATGTTGAACCTAAAGCTAAAAGCAATGAAGATTTAATAAATACAAAATATAATTTCTCTAGTTTTGAAAGTTCTGATGATTATAATAATAAAACAATTAATAAAAATGCACAAAAAAATATGGAAATACGAAATATGAATTTTAAAAATAAATCTAAATATATTAGAGTATATGATTACCTAGAAACATTTATAAAGGCCGAAGTAGTCAATATATATATGAGCCTTTTTAGAAATGACATTAATATTTATACTAATATTCCGAATAATATTAATATTAATCCGTATATATATGGAATGAAGTTTTATGATTACAACTTTTATGATGAAAATTATTTGAATGTACAGGATTATTATGATGAAGTATTATATAAAAAAGAAACTAATAACAAAAATAAAAATTTACACATTTCAAATGAAAATTATTACGTTGTCCATGATGATATAAATAAAAAATTAAATAATGAAAGAATTGATAAAAATGAAGAAAATTGCTTAAAACCACAAAAAAACATTGACCTACTTAATATTGATGACCCCAATAAATTTGTAAAATTAATGAAAGAAAATAAAATTATTAATCCGCAAATTTATGAATACATTGAAAAGGAGGAAACTGTGTGTATCAACATTAAATTAATTATTTTTTTATTTTTGTTTATAAAAAAAAAGTATATGACAATTTTCTTGAATAGTATTATGATGGTGTCAAATGTATCCTGCGGTGAAGCAAATACTATAATAACATGTTTTAAAAAAAGTATTTATGACAAATATTATCAATATATAATGAAAAATATTACTTGTTCAGAAAATTATAAGCATTTGAAAAGTGAGAAATTGCAGTCAAAATTAAACTTAACTGTTCCAGAATATGATTTAAACTCTGTAAGTGAAAAAAGTGAATTTATTTATAGAAACGATATATATGACACCAAAAATTATACAAGCACAATAGTAAATTGGGGAGACAAGTCATTTGATGAGTATAATATTATAAATTCATCTCTTTCATGTTCCGACACATCACGTTTCAGTCGAATGATAGAAGAAATATTAGCAAATTATATGTGTATTTATGTAAGTGGTAGGGATACAAATAATAATTTATGTATAAATAATATTAACCAGAGTGTATACACATTCACCCGAATTACAAATAATTTTTTCTATTATAATTTTAATTATTTTTTGTTTCTCTATAAATATAATTATTATCTTTATTATATACATAAAAATAACGTTCACATTAACCATAACAATGATACTACTTATATACAAAGCAATCCTCTTACCTCCTTTAAAAATAAGTTTAACACATTTGTAACTAAAGAAAATAATATAAATGTAACTAATTCTAAAATTCAAGGTGTTTCACCAAATAAGTTTATAATTATAAAAAAAATAGTTTGTAGTAATACTGTTACTTGTCTTGTTGATACACACAATAATGTTTATATGGCTGGGGATGTAAAATATTATTTTCCTAACTTTTTTCATCACATAGCTTACGCATCATCACCTTTTATAAAAATAAATTTGAATAATACAAAAACGATAAAAAATATTTCATTTAACCCAAATAATATATTTTTAATATATGATGATCACTCTTTTGAAATACTAGGCTATAATGATTATATTGATTTCTTTAAATATATTCATCCTATATTTTTTACTAATAAATATGTACAGAAGCATTCATACAATATGTTGAAAATACCCAATTCAGATTTTTTAGTAAAGCAAGTAAGTATTTATGCTTTCATTTTTATTTTTAAATTTATAGCCATCTATTATATTTCCCTTTTTTCTTTTAATGTTTGAAATTTATGTGTCTATACAGTTTATATATTTTTTTTTTTTATATAGGTGCAAACAGGAAGCAACTGTGTTATTTTTGTTATGAAAAAGAAAAAACGGAAGAAAAAAATAAGAAAATCAAGCACTTGAATTTTTAGTGTTTATTTTTCGTATATCTCACATTTTTCCTACATAATAATATATTTTTTTGTCTTATTATATATATCTTTCATTTTTTCATAGTAAACTTTTTACTAAGTTTTTTGTTTCAAAAAAATATTCATTTTTAATTAATACATTTATGGAAATAATTTTTGTTTTACCAAAAAGAATATAAAAAAATAATTATTTATTATCTTATATGAAAAGTGCCTCATTTGTATTTTGAATATTTACATTTTTATATATATAAAAACGTTTATAATAATTTTTTTATAAAGAAAAATTCTTTTTGAACACATTTAATATATATAAAGAAATAAATTAACTTGTTCCGTAGTTTTATCTTTTTTATTTTAATCTATCGCATTTATTTAAATTTTTTTATACTTTGGAAATGACATATAAATAGTACAAGAAATTTATATATTTCACACTACGAGAACATCTTTAAATTAAAAAAAGTAGTTTTGCAAATTTAATATACTAAAAAGCAATTGATATAAAGATTTAATTTTTTGTAAAACTTAGTAAATATCATATTAATAAAAATATCTCCTTTAGAATAAAAAAAGTAGTAAGAAAAAACATAAACTGCTGATTTTATATTTCTTAATGTCTTCTTTTATAACTTTAGAAAAACAAATCATATATTATTTTTTTCATTAGTAGTTCAGAAATATTTCAAACGCTTTCCTATATATTTCATTTTCGTATATTTTATGAAAGCATTTTTAAAAGTGCATATAAAAATAAAGAAAACAAATTTTGAAAAAATAAAATAAAACCCATATTTTACAAAATAAACATTTATAAATTTTAAAGTGTTTCTATTTATATTTGAAGTGACTTGAACGAATTCATATTATTATCAAAGATCTTATAAATTAATATTTTTTGAATAGTTCATTTACATAAATTTTCTTTATAAATTATTCTTTGCTAATAACAAAAGAACAGAAATGTAAAAATAAATGAAATAATTTAATAACCTATTTTTTTTGTTTTTACGGCAGGTATTTAAGCACTTGATAACATTTTAATCTTAATAAAAAATAAAAAAGTAAATAGGATTATTAGAATATTTACAATAATGTACATAATAGTATTATTTATATTATAAAATAAAAAAAGAAATTTTAATTCTTCTAAATTTAAAAAATACAGTTTCGTTTCATTGTAAGCTAGTATAACATTACGGCATTCTATCTTAATTTTATTCGAGCTATAATTTGTTGTAGTGAGTAGATATTCCCTTTTATTTTGAATAATTTCCTTTAATACAGTGATAAATAAAAAAATTTTAATACTAAAAAATATTATAACATTATAAAAAATTAATCTACGAAGACTTGTATAATACTTAATTTTTCTCACACAGTTTAGAAAATACAACATTGATTAGAGAACAATATTGAATAAAAAATTTCTATAGATAAAAAAAAATAATTTTATATTTGTTAATTGTAATTTAATATATTTTAAATAAGTATGTATTTCAATTTAATAAATGTACCTATTTTGTTTTTATTGAAGTGAATTTTTTTTTAATAAATAATATAAATTTTCAAAAACTATATAAAACTAACAAAATAAAGGTTAACATTAATGTCCATTCAAGGTAACGTTTTGTAATTTCTCCTTAAGAAAACTACACTATAAATTATTTTATTATGGTCTTTTAGAAATATTGATGGTACCATTAAGATAGAATTGATTGACATTAATATGTTATATGACTAATGCTGTAGAAATATAAATATAAATTTATCCAAAATATAATATTATTCTTCAACTACGCATAGCAAGATTATTTTATAGTTTAGAGAACCCATAGAAATTAATCCGTATACATAAATAAAAAAAATGATAAAAATGTTAAATCAATATAAATTTTTCATAAGAACAACCCAAATATATATTATTCTTTTTTCTATTTTTATTAATAAAATATATAGAAAAATAGTACATATATATGAAAAATATAGGTTTTCTTTTTTTTGAGCATGATCTATGTGGGATCTATTAATGTAGTTAAAACATTTTCCATTTGTTCATTAATATAACACTATATATACAAAATATTTTAATTTAAAAAGACATAGAAACATGTAATTAAATAGTTCAATATAATTTCTGTGATTGGATATTTTAAGAAACAATTGAATTATCCGTAAAAATACTTAATATTCAACAAAAGTCTCTAATATAGGTAAAAGGAATTATTTTTAGAATTTGTATTCGTTTCCGAAATTATGTCATTAGACATTAATTTATATGAAGATATCTAAATAACATTTATTTTATTAAAATTATATTTTTTTTTGTGTAATATCAATTTTTTTTAAATAAACAAAATAAAAATAAATAAGATACTTTCAAATTTAACACATTCCACAAAAGAATTTCTATAAGGAAGGTCAAAATGGATTTTATAGTAGAAATGTGTTAATATTCAGTGAATGAATCAAAATTTTCCTTATATATCTAAAAATCTTGCTAGATAATTTTTTTTTTAAATATGAATACGATAAGATATATATAGTTTCTAATATAAAAGAAAAACTGACAATTCACATAATGATAAAAAATTAAAGGCTAAATTATTAAGAAAATTAAAATAAAAGTATATCTTTGAAGTTGATAAAGTAAGAATTATCAATGGATTTTAAATATAACAATTTCTATTCTACATTTAAAATTATTATCATCTGTATATATGAAATATTTAGAAAATGAGTAAGATATATAAAATGTTTATTCAATAATAAAGTTCGTGATTATTAAAGATGTTTAGTTTTACAAGAAAATTTTTATATTTTTAAAAAAAATTCATGAATAATACATTTAGATGAGCACATTAGCTTGCAACTTTAAAAAATGTCAAATTAAGAATGATAAAATAAAAAAGAAATTAAAGTAAATAAAATTTAATAAGATATTAAATTAAAAAAAAATAAATATACAAAGAAATTGCATTCATATTATATGTAGTTTTAAGATATAATAATTAAGTAAAAAAAAAAAAAAAGATGTATTTCTACCATGCTAATTTAAGAAGTATGTAAAATATAGATATATATTATATAATAAACAAGAATATAAAAATAAAATAAAAATAATATTTCAAATGAAACCAATTTTAAGTAACTATAAATAGGGTTCCATTAATAGCATATTTAAATAAAAAGAAATTTATAACATATTTTTATTGTCAAAGAATATTTTAAATAAAAATCTATTATATATATAAATATATATAACTTATAAAATTTATATTGAATATTTAATAATTAATTCAATAAATATTTAACTAAAATAAAAAAAAAAAAAAAAAAAAAGTAGCGAATATATGAGGTAATTTATTAAATAAAACGTTCAATTCATTATAAAAATGAAAAAATCTAAATAAATTAATTCTCAATTAAAAATTAGACAAGTAAAATATAAAAATGTTTATAAAAAAAAAAAAGAACATATTAAAATTTTTAAAATTAAATATAAATATAATAATTTTATAAATTAAAAAATATATAAATTTTATTATCTATAAAAGTAATACAATTATTAAATTTATAAATAAAAAAAATAAATAGATTACTATATAACATTTTTTTTAAATTAACAATTTTAATTATATACTTTTATTTATTGATTTTAATTAATTAAATTATTCATTTAATTATCATAATTTTTAATTTTTTTTTAAACTAAAATATATTGTTTTATTATTTCAACAAAAATAATTAAATTATTTATTATATATATACTATATATATATTTTTTTTTAATAATTTAAATAATATAATATATATATACTTTTTTAAATTAATTAAATAATTTAATTCATGTGTATTTTATATTAGAAATTGATTTGATTTAATTATTACATATATATTTTTATTTTAATTATTATATATATTTTTTAATTTAATTATCATATATATTTTAATATAATTATATATATATTTTTTTTAATTTAATTATAATATATATTTTTTATTTAAATTATTATATATATTTTTTAATTTAATTATAATATATATTTAATATTTTAATTATTATATATATTTTTTAATTTAATTATATATATTTTCTTTAATTTAATTATATATATATTTTTAATTTAATTATATATATATTTTTTTAATTTAATTATATATATATTTTTAATTTAATTATATATATATTTTTTATTTTAATTATATATATATATTTTTAATTTAATTATTATATATATATGTTTAATTTAATTATTATATATATATTTTTAATTTAATTATATATATATATTTTTATTTTAATTATTATATATTTATGTTTAATTTAATTATTATATATATATGTTTATTTTAATTAATATATATATATATTTTTATTTTAATTATTATATTATTTATGTTTAATTTAATTATTATATATATATTTTTATTTTAATTATTATATATTTATGTTTAATTTAATTATTAAATATATATTTTTATTTTAATTATTATATATATATTTTTAATTTAATTATTATATTTATATTTTTAATTTAATTATTATATATTTTTTTTAATTTAATTATTGTATATGTTTTTTAATTAAATTATTATACATATTCTTTATTTTTAATTATTGCGTATGTTTTAATTTAATTATTTATATATTTATTTTAATTATTATATATATATTTTTAATTTAATTATTATATATATATTTTTTAATTTAATTATATATATTTTTATTTTAATTACTATATATATATATATATATATATATATATGTTTTTTTTTTTTTAATTTAATTGTTGTATAAATTTTAATTATTTATATATTTATTTTAATTTTATTATTATTATTATTATAATATATATATATTTATTTTAATTATTATGTATATTCTTAATTTAATTATTATAATATATATTTATTTAATTTATTTCTTATATATGTTTTTTATGTTAATTATTATATAAATTTTAATTTAATTATTATATATATATTTTTGGTAATTAATAAAATTATTTTATTTTTATATCTTTTTTTTATCAATAAATTAAACTAATATAAATATAGCATTAATAAAGTAAATTAATTTAATTAGCACATATTTTTTTTAAATGGATAAAACGATTTAATTATATTTATTTAAATAGTATTATAATTTAATATATTTTTTATTTTAATAAATTAATTTGATCATTATATGTTTTATATTAATTAATTTTTATAAATAGATTAATTTAATTGTTATATTTTTTTTTATTTTAATATATTGTTTAAATAATTATTATTTTTTTAAATATAAATAATTAATATTATATTTTTTAATATTATTTAATTTATCGTATTTTATTATTATTATTATTTTTTTAAATATAAATAATTAATATTATATATTTTAATATTATTTAATTTATCGTATTTTATTATTATTATTATTCTTTTAATTAATAATTTTATTCTCTATTATTATATATTTTTTTTATTAATATTAATAAAAATAATAATTGTGTATTGTTTATTTTGTTTTTTTAATAATTTTTATATATTAATGCATTTATTTTTATAAATATTTTATATTATATTAATTAAATTTAATTTATATCTTTTTTTAATAGAATTAAATAATATAAAAATCGGTCGATTTTAAAAAAATAAAAATATTAATTTTTTTAATTATTTAATATTATATTATAATTCATTATATTTATATTATTTAAAATTTACATATTTATGTTTTAAAACTAAATTAAATTGTATATATTTCATTATAGATTATATATAACTAAAAACTTATTAAAACATTACGCACATTATTTTTTATAGAAATAAAAATAAATAAAATTTAATATTTAAAAATAATAAAAATTTAATAATATATATTAATTATTTTACTCTATAATTATTTATTTTATAATTTTTTTTTGTCTTTTAATTTATATATTTAAGTATTTTTTTTTTTTTTTTACTAATATTACTATATATAATATTTATAATTGAATTGTTTTATATTTATTTATTGTAATTTATTTTGTATAATTAATTTAATATTATTTAATTTATAGTTAACCAATATTTTTGCTTATAAATTAATTTTATAATATATCATTTTATCTTTTTTTTTTTTTTTTTTTTTTGTATTTTTTAAATTGAATTTTTACCAATTAATTGTGTATCATTGAATATATTTATGATTTTAACTTATTTTTTTTATTTATTTTTATAAAAAATAATGAAAGACCTAATGTTCATTTAAAATAAATTAGAGATTAAAATTATTTAAACTTTATTCTATATACAATTAAACATTTACTTCAAATAAAAAATTTATGTTTATATTTAAAAATAATTTTAAATTTTCATATAATTATACATTCATATTTTATATTTAATCCATTTAATATAAAATATATTAATTTTGATTTCTATCATATTTTAACACTTCAAATTTTCTTTCTCAAAATGGATGTATCCCAATTTTTTTACTTTTTATATGATTCATTATCTTATTTTGAGAAAATATTAAATTATATTTGTATATAAAATAAATAAAACTTCATTTATAATGTTTTTTGTATTATCAAAATTGAGTAAAAAAACTATTGAACATTTTTTACTTCAATTAAAAATCGTTACTTTAAAATTAATATATATTAGGAATTCTATAATTTTTTCTATGAACTCGTTTGATGTTAGACACAACTAAAATTTTTTATATGAAAAAGAGGAGAAATATTATAAAAATAGTACATAACTTACTGGAACATTTCCTTATTACTTCAAAACCCCTTAATTGTATATTTTTTTTTTTACCTTTAAATATTTTGTTGCATAACCTTTATAAAATATAGGAGATCTCTTAAAACATACAATATTAAAATTATAAACTTTCTTCAATACAATATATTAATATGAATAAATTTATTTTCTATAGATTATAAATACATTATAATAGCAGGTATCTTTGGTATATGTAATCATTTCTTCCAAATAACTTTAAATAAAGTGAAAGAATTTTATACATGATTGAAATAACAAAATGCAATACATAAAATTAAAACTTTCATGTAGAAACACAATGATCAAAAATGTGTTTATTATCCATAAAAATTACTTAGGATGATTATTTCAATAAAATTCACGAATAACATAACCTTAAAGAGATACTATATATTCATAGAGAACTCTTAAAATATAAATTTTATATAAACTTAAAAGATAATTTGATGAGAAATTGATAACATGAAATATTTTCCATAACACTACCTATTAAAAACATTCTAAGCTAAAAAATATATATTTTTTTTTTCCTATCTATAAATGTAGTAATACTAAAAGTAAAATTTTTTTTTTTATAGTTATATAGAACAAAAAGAACAAAAATATTAAAATTCTTACTTTATTTAATTTTTTAATCTATCAAAAAAAAGAGATTATTAACCTTATAAACATAGAATTTCTAAAATATTATTTAAAAAATTATTTTTGTTATAAATATTAATTAAATTTTATATAATATACTTATATATAATGGAAATATTTGTAATATTTTTTCATATTTTTAATGGAATTAATTATGGAACACAAAAAAATTATACTTTTGAGAAGGATTCTTATAAATAATTTATAAAATATATAATATCATAAGAAATGTTATAATAAGAATAGTATTTTTTAGGGTTTAAAACAAATGGTTACAGAACATTAACTTATATTTTTATTTTTAAAAATCAAAAAATAGTTCATAAACAATAAATTTATAAGTTTAGTATTTTCTTTTTTCTAAAATATTTTATGTTTTAAAAATATATTTTTCTATTTGTAATCTACAAATGTATTTTAAAGTAAAATTTTATTACAAAACGTATCTCATAAAGTAGTAATAGCATAAACAGTGATAATTATTATTATCATAAAAAAAATAAAAAGACATGTTATGTATATTTTAACACAATTTTTGAATTATTAGAAACAAAATATAATTCAAAGAAAGACGCTGATGTGCATATGTTGAATTTTTCTCGTTACGTAAATTAATAATTATTTTATTATAATGACATTATAAATCATTAAAAAACATGAAATATAAAAAATAACAAAAAAATTTTCATTCTTAATATTTTAAAAAACGCTTACCTACAAATTGACATTTTTATTTCAATGAAATATTTATTATTTAATTTATCGTATTAATTTTTTTATTTTTAAATATTTTACGAATAATCATGACTTAAATGTTCCTTTTTGTTCTGTAACAATAGACATAAAATTCTTCTTTTTAATATATTACTGAAGATGTTTCTTTTAGAATTTTAATATATATAAAATTAATTTTCGTTTTTTATTCATTTTTATTATTTATGAAATTTAATGTAAATTATTTTTTAAAGCCTTAGTTTTATTTTCAAAACTATGAAGGATTTAACATTGATCAATTCTTTAGGATTTTTATATTTCCGATTCTTAAATGGAACTATATTTTTGAAATTTTGGTAATTTTATCTATAATGCTTCTATTGTGTATTTCTTTTGATAATAAATTATTCAATGTTTCTTTTTTTAAATTAGAGTTACGTTTTATAGAATAATAATTATTTTTTAGTGTATATTCTATAGATGCTTTTCGCTTTACACTCTCTTTTTTGTAGTTTCCATTACTTTTATTTCTTTTTTGAGAATTATCTTTTTTATAATTTTCTACATTTAAGGAATTTCTTAATAAATAATTAATTTTCCTTGTTTTTCTAAATAAGTTCAATATATTCTCAGTGGTTTCAGGAGATATCTTCTTCATATGTATTGACAAATTTGGTAATGTATTTTTTTTTTTCGAATTTATATTACTAGGTTTTTTTAAGTTATAATAATATTCAAATGAGTATTTTTTTTTTATTGGAGAATTAGGTAGATTTTTCTTTTGTTTATTTATTTTCTTACAACAGTTTAAAAATGAATCACTTTTTAAAAAATCAGTTTTTTTATTAGTTAATATATATCCTAATTTTTCTTTTTTTTTAGTTGTACATTTGCAATTTGGAGTAAATTTATAATTATTATGCAATGAACTTATACTATGGTATAATTTTTTTGTAGGATCCCTATTTTCTTTTTTTTTATTTCTATTCCTTACATTTTTTAAATTAAAAATATTTAGTTTTTCGTTATTTTCTTTAGGTTCATATTTATCTTCTTCGGAACTTTTATATTCGGTAGATTCTAATATAACCGAAATATCATTCATATTCTTACATAAAAATTTTAAATTTTCAGTGGTATCAATGCACTGAATAAGAGAAAGAACATTTCTAGTTAAACATCGAATTTTTTGTTTTAATTGCTGAAAAGATTCACTGTAATAATTAAGTCTTCTTATTAATTCATTATTTTTAGAGTGAATATCAATTACCTTTTTTTTTTCTTTTTTAATATCTATATAATATTTATTCTTATACATTTGTTCTAAGTGAAAGTTATCTTTTTGCACATTTTCTATCTTATCTGCTTTTTCTTTTAGTTTGTTGGTTAACAATTTTATTTCTTTTTTTAGTTTAGATATTATTTTATCTTTGTTTTCGTCAACGTTTTTTGTTTTATCTTCTTCTAAAAATTTAGGTTTTATTATACCATTATTTTTATTATCATATTCCAAATTTTTTTTTTTGTATGGATCATATATTTTCTTTTCATTTTCATTTTCATTAATGGGATTTGATTTTAAATATGTTTGATTTCCCAAGGAAAGTTTAAACAATCCTCTGTTTTTTACTTCAAAATTATCTGTAATGTTTTTTTTGAAATTGAATTCAAATTCTGAACTAGAATGTGATTCACTTTTTAAATTATATTTATTTTCTTCGGATTCATTTATTAATTTTACATCTTTTTTTTCATTTAATAATTCATCTGTTATATTATTTTGATTGCTCTTCATTGTACTTTTATATTTTTAAGTCTATTTTAAATAAAATAATCTTCAATAGAGTTATCAATTCAAAGATAAAATAAAACATGGGTTTTTTCTTATTCATATATAATATATTAATATAATAATATTTATTAATTAAAATTTAATTGAACTCTTTTGGATCTTAAACTTTTTATTAATGAAGGAATATAATTTTCCAAAGTTTACATATAATTTATTGTTACTTTAAAGTTTTATTATTAGTATTTTAAAAAACAAAAACTATTGAATTTCGATATAAATTTTATCTATCGATCTAAAAAAAAATTTGAAGATACAGCATAAAAACTATGTCAGTTTATGTAAATATTTATACATATGGAAATTAAGATAATACAATTTTGTAATTTCATATTTTTCTTTTTGACATTTTGACATATTCTAAAATACATAGAAAGATAAAATTACATGTAAGAAATCAATAGATTTTTATTTTTATTTCATTAAAAATATTTATTGAAATATTGTCTTTATATTGTAAAAAAGAATTTTATTGTTTTAAAATTCATGCTTGTACATATTTAAAAATGAAAATGCACATTAAAATATATAGAGGTTTGGGAAATACCACAAATCTTATTCATGTAAGTATATATTTTTATCATGAATATTTTTGATTTGCATTTACACATTTCATAACAAAAAAAAAAAAAATGGTTAAATTATAAATATATATTTAACAAAATTGAGAATTCAATGATGCATGAACAACTTAAAATATTGTTTTCTTAGATTTGAAAAACACAAAAATTTAAAAAGAATTTTTCAGTATATATTTATAAATAATTTTTGCAATATGCTTTAAAATGCAAAAAAAACAGATTGAAATAAAAAATTTTGATAATTTCTTTGTGGTTTTTTATCATTTTTTTTTTTTTTGGAAAAAAGAGCTATTTAAACTTTATATTTAAAGAAGAAATGAATATTTAAAGAGATCCCAAAAATTATACAATGTTTTTGAAAAGTCAATAGATAAATAATTTTTTTCCTTTACGAAATATATGAAATATTTAATGATTAAAAAAAAATTAATTTATGCACACACATTTTATAGATAATTTTTTTTTATATTAACAAAATAAAGGAAAATAATATATTACACACAAGCAATTTTTCTTTAAAACGTATTTTATTATTAAACTATATAGAGCTTATGCCCTATGTATACATACTTCGTGTTTTTACTTTCGATATTTTACATATATCTATATGAAGAAAAATTATATATTATAGAGTTCTCTTTTTGTATCTTCAAAAGAAACGTGCTATAAATAATAGATAATTCAAAAAAAAAAAATAAATCATAAAAATTATGAGAATTTTGCTGTATTTTACTTTTTGTCTATTATGTAAACAAATGTTAAATTTAAGCCTTTTTTTTTTTTTTTTTTTATTTGAAGTATTTAATTCAATTTTTTATTAAGCATAATAATGAAGTTAGATGTTATAATTTTATAATAATTCTCAAAAAAATATTCATTTGTTGGTATAATAAATAAAATTTTTTATTTTATATATAAAAATAAGCAAGGACTTATAGAAAGAAGATAAATAAGGTCTTGTGGCAAAAATTAAATAATTGCTCATTGTAGGAATTAAATGTATTGTGGTCATTTATGTTATTAATTAAATTATTTTATATATGCAATCTTAAATTTTAAATTACCGTTGTAATAATAAAAATAAATGTATAATACATATAAATAAGGAATATGGTGTATATTTTTATAACTTTTAATTCAATATATAGTTCATGAGTTAATGTAAATTTTATTTGCAAAATAAAAATATTTATTTTTTTATTTTTGGGATAAATAAAATATATTTTCATACCCTCTTAAAAGACGAGATAATAATATTAATTGAAACAAAAAATTATTTTATGGAGGATATTTTTATTCAACGGTTTTATGCATATAAAAATTAATATAAAGGAGAATATTATTTTATTATAATTATTTTCATTTTTATAATAATATATGTTTTATAATATTATTTATTTAAAATTAATATATTTCCTCTTTCTAACATTATTGTTATATAAATAGCATAAAGAAAAATAATTTTCTTTTTTCAAAAATTAATTTACATTTTAACAAAATTCAATATTTTGTTTATGTTAAATAATATCTCCATTTTTTGTTACATTTTTAATTTCCTTAATTTCAGATATGTAATATGTCAACATATTTTTTATCATGTACTGGAGAGTCATTTCACTTTGTGAGCATGTAACACAAGCTCCTTCTAGCTGTACGTAAACTATACCTAAATGAAAAAAGTATCGTATTATTTTAAATTTTTAGGTTAAAAAAAAATAATAATCTATATATTACTGAAAACTATTAAAATATAGAAAAATAATAAATACAGATCTTATAAATGTATAAAAGAAAATAAAAATAATATAAAATTACCACTGTCAATATCAAAACAAATAAATTTTATATCTCCACCATCATTTAAAATTATTGGACGAACTCTTTTCTCTATTAATAATTTTATGCTACTTATTATTTCTAAGATGTCCTCATTTTCTTCGTATTTTTTTTCATTTTTTATTTTTTGCAATACAGAAACGATATTTTCATTATTAGAAGTACTTTCTAAGTTTTTCTGAAATATATCAAGGAAACTATTTATATCATTGATATAATTAATGTAATCTGAATTTTTTGAAGTAGAAAAAAAAGCAGGGGTTATTTTGTTTATCGGATATTTATTTTGTATTTTTACATAATCTGAAAAATGCACACTTGCTTTTTTATAAGTATTAAATTTTATTTTCCATTTGAAGCATAATAGTTTATTAGATATATTTTTAAAGTGAATCATGCTTTAATAGAACCAAAATAAGAAAAATTATCATTAATTAAATTCTGATAAGGTAAATAAAAAATTCTTTTTTTTTCTTATTTTATTTTTTTTTTTTATTTGCAAATTTAAAAATATAATAATTTTAATTTTAAAAAATGAGAAATTACACAAAAATAATTAAATTTTTATAAATTGTTATTTAATAATGTGAATATAAAATTGAAAAAAACATTTTTTCGATAAAATATTTTCATTATTTTTAAATATATATATATTGATTTGCTTTTTATTTTACAAAAATTTTTTTTTCATTAAAGTAGAGCCACAATGTTTCCATATGAACCAAGTCAAATTGAACTTAATTCAAATGAATGGGAAAAAATGATTGAAGAAAGGATAAAGGAATTAAAAGTAGAAGATAAGGTACCTAAAAAGGTAAAATGTGTAAATATGATGAAAAAAAAAAATATATATAATACATATAATGATTCTATAAAAATATTTTTTGTAATTAAAAATAAATTGAAGTCTTGAAAATGAATTAATAAAAAACTAATTAAAATGTTAAAAATAACTGAAAAATTTCAAAATAATTTTATATATTTATTATATTTTTTTTTTTTTTAATGATAAAATTTCATTTTTTTATAAATTCTTGACAAAAAAAAAAAAAAAAAAAAAAAATAGTGAAGTCATGCATATAAGATAGTTAAAATGTTTTTTAACTTATATGTAAGAGATTATTTTTTATGTATATTTTATATTTAATTCAATTTCTGAAAATTTTTGTGTTCATTTTTTTTTTTTTTTGAATATTAAAAATTGGATATAGTGTTATAATGATAAAAAGAAAGAAAATAATGGGAATATAATGTCCTATAATGAAACATGTAATTATACGTTTTTATACCTAAAATATTTACTCTTCACTTAATATTAATCCACTAGCAACTATTTTATTTGATTCAGATAAAATAAAGCGAGATAATGGAGAAATTGCAAAGGAAAGAAAGTCATAAATATTAAAAAAATAATTATAAAAAGAAATAAAATAATTTAAGTCATATTTGAATTTTTGAGCACACATTAAAGAATTGTTATTAATTTCAATTTCTATAATACCAATATCAAAGCTTCGTAGACATTTTTTATTTTCAATTTTTTCATAAAATGTATTATTTTTTTTTTTATAATTTTTTGAATTACTAATTTCTGTCAAATTTTGGTTGAGGCTATTTAAATTATTATCTAATAAATCACTAGAATTGAAAGAACAATTTTTATTTTTATAAATACAGTGTATATTTTTAATTGTTATACTATGCGAAAAATTTAAAGAATAAAGAAGGTATTGTCTACCTATTACTACTGGAATTTGTATTTCGTTAATTTTTATTAACACCATCATTTTATTAGAAATAAAAATATTATTTATATTATATAAAGAAAAATTTTCATTATTTTTGTCGTAATTATTACTTTTTGTTTCATTATTTACTAAAACGCAACCGTTAATTATTTTGTTGTCATTAATTTTAAGAACAATATTTTCTACAATGTCGTTAGTTATAGTAATATTTTCATTAAATGAGCAAGCGTTTGCTAACTTTGATATCATTTGTATAGAATTTATAAAATCCTTTTCTTTTAAACTATATATGCATTCACAATTTTTACTATTTTGTTCATTTAAATTTTGATTTTCTATTTTCTCTGAAATACCAGAATCTGGTAATTCCAATAAAAATTTTTTAAACGAATTGAAGTTTTTTGCTTTTGCTAAATAATTAGATAAGTTATCAATATTTACATATTTATAAAAGCAACTATTTTTTTCTATTTTTTTTATGGTTATTTTTTCTTTAAGTGGCAATATAGTATAATTATGTTGAATCTTTAAAATTCCATCTAATATTTTAATGTTTGCTTTTATCAAGTTATTTGCTTCTGTAAAATCTTGAATAACACCTATAAATGTATTATCTTCATCTGAAGTTTTTTTAATTGGGTTTAATATGCTACTTTTATATGAATTATAAAAAATATTATTTGCAAATAACTTATTATTTTTAATAAAATTATAATAAGAACTTAAATTTTGCTTCTTCTCATGTAAAATTTCTTCGCATACTTTTAATAAAAATAAATCTTTTTTTATATTCATATATTTTATTTCATCATATAAACTAAAATTACAATTGAATAATGATATGTTACCTTTTTCAAATTTTACTATGTTTTTATTTTTGTATGCTGAAACAGGTGTGAATATTAAATTTTTTTCAAATAGGGTGCTATAGTTTTCAAAGCATTTTACATGTATGTAAAAATTATTATTAATAATAAATTCAAAGATACTATCATTTTTTTCGCATTCAAAAAAGGATTTTACTGTGTTGCACACATTTTCAAAAACTTTTATATCATAATCAAACAAATCTAATTTATTCACCACTATGATAACATTAGAAATTCCAACTGATTTTAATATAGAAATGTCTTTATATGTTTCATCATTTTTTTTGTTATAAATATTGTTCGCATCTACTAGTAAAATTGCACAATCTGCAAAAAAACTCCATGAAAGTAAATTATTTACTAATTCATTATGTCCAGGTGTATCAAAAATATTAATTTTTCTAAAGCAAATAATATCACTGTGTATTATTTTTTTTTTATAGAAATCTTCAAATATACTTTTATTCATGTAAATGTTTTTATTTTCATCTTTCTGTACATTTTCCATATTATTTTTATTATAACTCATATTTTTTTCATTAGGTTTGTTATTTAGTAAAATGTCGTATGCTTGCTTTATATCATTTTTTGTATAATATATAAAAAATTCTTTTCTTTTATTAAAAAGAGTTATATTTCTTTCTCTTTCATCATCTTCTTCATCTAATATAAAAGTGTACTTGCAGCTTTCTTTAACTTTTTCATATTTTTTTATCGTTTGTTCACTTACGTAATTCAAGTTATATAATAATGCACCTATTAACGTAGATTTACCTGCATCAATATGTCCTAATACAAGAATATTTAATGTATTCAGCATTATGTATTTGTTATCTTCACTATTTTTTAAAGTTATCTGAATTTCTTCATTTTTTTTTTTTATATTTTCTTTTTTTTCCTCTTTTTTTATTATATTCTTTTTAGAATTATCATTATTTTTTATTTTCAAAGAATTAGTACTTTTTACAAATTCAAATTCTGAGTAATATTGGTCATCATAGTTATCATAGTCTTCAAAATCATCTTTATAATCATCATAAACTAAATTTTTCAATTTTTTTTTATTACCCATTTTAAATTTAATTATATATAATATGTATATCTTTATTTAATTATAATTTTTAATATATTAATTTTAATGGGTTTATTTCAATTACATTTTCATTTTTAATTTTTTTATTACAAAGATAAAAAAAAAAAAAAAAAAATTATACAAAAAAAAGGAAATTAAAATAAAAGAAAAATCTAATATTCCTCATTGGTATTTTTACTTTTTTTTTTTATTACATAAAATAAAGGTATAATATTTTAACAAAAATTGGCAGTAAAATTTATAAGTTGTTTTGATTAAAACAAAAAAAAATATATTTTGAAAGTTTAATAAATATTATATATAAGAAAGCAGAGAAATGCATATTGTTAATGTATATACATTTAAGTTATATTATGAATTATTACTATGAAAATATTAATTTATCTTTTTCCATACATATTTAGAAATATTAAAGAATTATTCAACAAAATAAAGGTTAAAGGAGTATAAAAAGACATCATAGAATAATTCACTATTTGGAGAAATAAATATTTAAATTCTTTTTTTGTATTTGTGCATGCTAAAGGTATAAAACGAAAGATAACATGTGTGTAGTTAGTGACTATATATATTTTTAAAATAATTTTTTAGTATAATTATTTTTATTTTTTTAAATACATAAACTATTTTGACAAAAAAAAAAAAAAAAATTTAAGCATAAGGGAAAGTTAAATTTATATAATGAAAAATCTAAATAATTTTAAAGGCATTTCTTACCAAATGAGTGCACAAGTAAATAACATTTGTTATAAGAGTTTATATTAATCATATTGGTGATATATATTATATCTTTTTTTTGAAGGAATGCAAGATAAAACTATTAAAATATAAAAATATGGAATTAGAATCGAAAATAGTAATATATATATATATATAAATGTATGCATTAATATATGTTTTTATTTGAAAAAAAAATGTATAGGCATTATTAAAGAATGATTTCAAACTAATTATAAATGAAGTTTTGAACTTAAAAAATTTTATAGTTAGTAAAAAGATAAAAAAATTTTAATTTTTAAGTAATATTATTATTATTATTTTTTAATTATATTTTAAGAATGAAAAAAACGAAAGAGCAAAAGATAAATTAAGAAAAATTAAAATGATAGTTAATATATTGAAAAGAGAAAGGCAATATCTCTACATAACAAATGTAAGAAATAAAAATATTATTCAAGATAATAATATACTTACTCATAATGGCTTCACAAAAAATATAAGAAAATAGAAAGTATTATTTAAATTAAAAATACCTTGTTTTTATTCTTTTTATTATTCTAAGAAAAAATATTCTAAGGAAATTAAATACCTATATAAGAAAAATAGTATTCTTCAAAGAATATTCGATATAGTTAAAAAGACATTAAAATAGAACTAATATTATAAATATAAGAGAAATATTATTTTATTATTTTTATTTTTTTTAGGACAAAATAAAGAAAATATATAAACCTATTAGATTACATAAGAAAGAGAAAAAAAAAATTTCAAAATACAGTAATTTAAAATTGTATAAAATGGATAATAGGAATAGAAATAAAATATTATTTAAAAAAAAAGATATAATTTTTAGAAAAAAAAAAGCATATTTAAGTAAAGAACATATAATAAATATTCCTAAAAATCCCCCACTCAAAAATAGATCTTATGGTATTAAATGTAAAAAAAATATAAAAAAAAAGAAAATTGGAAAATATATAATTTTAAAGAATAAGAAAGATGTATATAATTTGGAATATTTGAAAAAAAAAAAAGAATTAAAAAAAAAATTTCGTATAAATAAGTTTTATGGAAAACATTATTGTATCTATTTCACTGTTAATGTGTTCATAATAAAAAAAAATATATCATTAAAAAAAAGGATATATAGCTTTTTACATTTGTCAAGAGTATGTTTTCTAAAAGATATTAATAAGAATGATAATAAAAATATATTTGATAAAGAAATAATTTCATTAAATAATAGAAAAAATAAATTTCGTGAAAATGCAATGTATATAAAAGAATTAAAAAAAAAAGAAGAAAAAAAAAAAATATTAATAGACAATTTAAAAGAAATACAGGTAATAGAAGAGGGAAAAATTATATGTTTTAATAATAATGAAGATAATAAAAACCTTGAAAATATTTCTCTAAAGAGAGATAAATATAAAAGTAAATCATACATATTTATAAATGAAAATGAGGAAAAAAAAAGAAATGAGATACATGATATTTATGATAAAAAAGCATGTATTTTTGATCAAATAAATGAAAAAGATATATTTATGAATAAATCAGAAGAGTTTTCTCAAGGTAAAAGTAATCCTTATTTTAACAGTATATTAGAGAATGAAAACAACTACTTTGCAAAATTTTATAAGGAAAGATATATTAAATATTTATATAATATGAAAAAAGATAATATAAATAAAATCAAAGAATATATAAATAAATTTTTTATAAATACTTTTCAAAATCAAAATGAACATTTAATAAATAGGAACCAAACTATTAAACAAATTTTTTATGATTTTATTTCAGTACTTTTTAAATTATTTGAAGAAAATATAGTTGAAAAAAATAAATTTTTAAATGATCTTGAAATGAGAATTAACAATATCATTATATTTTCAAATAACATACTCACTTATATAAATGAAATTTCTATTAATATAATTAAACATAAAGTTAGTTTCGAAAGCATCATTGTAGCACTTCAAAATATCATCAAAGAATGCCAATATAAGTAAATTATATGAAAGTTGTATTTTTATAGTAAATAAACATGTTTAATTTTCTCAAAGTATTAATAATTTTTTTTTTTTTTTTTTGTTTATATTGTATTAAAATAATTGTTTTATTAGCGTTGTTTTATATATATAAAGGAAATAAAAATATTAGCACATTCATTTTTTATAATTGTTTAATTTTTTTAAATATCTTCGTAGTTCGTCTTTTTGCTAAATTGTATTTACTTTTTCATTAATTTTATGTTTTTTTTACTTTTTATTGTTTAGTTTTTATCTCACTTTAATTTTTTTTTTTGTTTTTATATTTGATAATTTTAATTTTTAATTTAATTTTTTTTTTTTTTAAATATAAAATATTGATTATTTTTGAACAATATTATTTCAATTTTTTTTTTTTTTTAGTTGCGAACTTTTGGTAATTTGATATTGAAATTTTTTTTTTTTTTTTTAATGCATTTCAAATTTTTAAATATAAAAAAAAAAAAAATGGATTGAAGAGTTTTTTTAATGCTTTATTTTTTATTATAAAGGTTATAAAAATTTCATTAAAATATTTTAAATAAATTTTTTTATTTTAATTTCTATAAATATTTATAGTAAATATTAACTTTTATGAATATTGACAATGTTGAAAGCAAACATAAAAAACATAATTTGTTTTAAAAAAAAACATAAATATATATTAAAATTATGTAAAATTTAAAAATAAACACAATTTTTAATAATTGATATATTTATAATTAAATATTTTTTAATTTAAATATATCCTTTTTTAAATGTTTTTTTTTATTATTTATGAAACTGAAAAAATAATATGAGTAAGTCAGAAATAGAATCATTATTTGTTAAGTTATGTCATGTTGAAAAGGAAAGTAGGGATAGAGGAATAAATATGCTTTATGATTACATAAATAAAAATAAAAAAGTTCTCAATAAGCATAAAATAACATACATATGCAAAGGATTATTTTATTATTATTGGTTATGTTATTCTATTAATGAACAAAAAAAAGCAGCTTTGAAAATATGTAGATTAATACATATATTTGATAATAAAAAAAATGTTTTTGTATTTTTGCAATGCTTTTTGGATGTTATGTCAGCAAAGTATAATAATTTAGATATACATCGTTTAAATAAATTTTTATTTTTATTCCGGGTTTTTCAAGCTGAATTTTTGATGTTTTTGCATAATAACTCATGGAATAGTAGTTATATTAAAAAATATAATAGAATAATTTTAAAAAGTTTTGATGATACGAATGAGCTATTTTATAATTATGTAGATACTTTTTTTGAAGAGTTTTTAGGAAATGAAAATTTTTTAGAAGCAAAAAAAGAAAAAATCAATTATGATACAAAACAATTTTTATTATTGGTAGACCCTTTCTTTAAAATTGCATGTGCAACAGAAAAGAAGTATATAATTGACCTAATACAAAATAAGATTTTTAATAAGATAGTAAAAATGGATATAAAGAAAAATCTTTTAAAGAAGAAAATTAATAAATATTTATTAAAATGTAAATATAAATATGGAAAGAAAATTTTAAAAAATATGTATAATTTATCCCTTTATACAAAAAAAAAAAATAAAATAGAAAATGAGATGAAAAATAAATTTCCTATTTTTATTGAGAAATGCTATAATAATACGGAAAAAAAAGAGTTAACTCATGAAGAAAAAACTAACAGTGAATTATTACTTGAAGAAAATGGAAAGTTTAAAAGTGACTATCCTCTTCATAATAAAAAGGTGTTAAATAAAAAAAAAGATCAAAAAAAATTAAAAATACTAAAAGATATCGACATAAAAAACGAGGGGAATATTTGTGAAGATGAAGGTAAAAAAAATGTTATAAAGAAAAAAACTGGAATATATGGTGAAAAAGGAAAAAAAAAAAAGACTAATACAAAAGATGCAAAACTGGTTGAAAATTTGGCGTTTAATACAAGTATAATAAAAAAATGCAAAAAGAATTTAAAAAAAAAAGATAAAATAAATACTAAAACAAATACTTATGAAAATATAAAATGTGAAATAAATGGTAAATATAATATGAATAATTTAGATAAAAATAACAAGAAAGATTTTTCATTTAGTATTAATGATAATAAAGAAAAGTCAAAATTACAAATTTGTGCTTTTAATGAACATGAGTTAAATGGAAAAGAAAAAACTTCACAAAAAAATAATTTAATAAAAAAAAAAATGATGAAAATAAATAAAAAACAATGTAATTTACAAGTTAAGGAAATACCAAGTAAGAAAGAAACAAAAATACAAAATAAAAGCTCAGATAATAAAATAAATGATACAAATAACGCTTGTATAAAGCAAAAAAAAAGTAAAATAATGAAAAAGAAGAAAGAAAAATTGAAAAAAGAAAATAATAAAAAAGAAACAAAAAATAACATGGATAATAATTTCAATATGAAATTGGAAAATGAAACATTAGAAAAAGGTAACAGTGGTATGGTTAAAAAAACAATTTTAAAGAAAGGAAAAACGAAATCTGTTGTAACAAAAAAGGTTCATTTCAATTTAAAAAAAAATACAATTGAGTATATTCCACGGAATAAAAAAAAAAGTGTTAACTCATTTTTTTTTTTAGATAATTTTCGTAACTTAGTGAATATTCCTTCATTTTTATAGGGCAAAAAAACAAAAAAAATTGTAACCTTTTTTTTCTTTTATTTTTATCATATTTTTGTTTTTATTTCTTTTTGATTTTATTCATATTTTTGTACTTTAATTTTCTCTTTTTTATTTAATTTTTTCTTTTTTGTTTATAATTTTTTTTTTTTTTTTTTTTTTTATTTAAAAAGAAACTCAAAATTTTAAACTAATAGTAAAAAAGTACCACATATATATTTTATTATCAAAATAAATTTATTTTAATTTTCTTTTTTTAATTTTTTTTGTTAAAAATTTTCTGTGTTGAACAAATATTTTTTTCTAAAAAAAAATTCACAATAAATTTTCAAAATATTTCATTTTATTTTTATATTGACAAAACTCCAAAAAAATTTAAGAAAAAGAGAAAAAAAAGAAAAAGAAATATATCAGGGAAATGTGAAAAAAAGTGAGAAAGAAAAGATATAAAAGAGAACATAATATATTTTAGAAAAAATAAAAATTATGACTTTAAATTATTTATTCCTGAATAAAAATTTAAAAAAATATTAAAGTTTTTATGAATAAAAAATGAAAATGTGTTACTTGAAATTTTTTTTGAAAATATGTTTTCTTCTTTTTTTGAGTTACGACTTTATTTATTTAAAAAGTGAAAATAAGAAAGAGCAAGGAAATTTATTTAAGAATGGATATGAAATTTTTTTTGTTCAGAAGGATATATTACCTTCGTATATAAAACGTGATAATCATATATCAATTTTTTTTTGTAAATCCTGACAGTCACAATATGTTTTAAAAAGAATAAAACAATATTTTGATATTTTAAATGGAGAAGAAACACAATTATATCTTGAAAATAGTAAGTTTTCAGTTGATAATAATAAGTATATTATATTCTTAATGAACTATAAGCCAGCTCTAATCTATAGATTGATTAGCTATTTCATAATTTTTATTTATATTTTAATTTCAATAAATGTAATTTTTCCTAAACAGTCAGAATATTTCATGCCAAGTTTTTTAATAAATAATGAAAATTATAATAGAATATTTCAAGAAATGAGAAAAAAAAAGTTAGCTGTTTTCGCTATTATGTTTTTTTCATTTAATATAATTTATGGGATACTTTGTAACACAAATGTAATTCATATATATCAGAATAGGAATTTAATTTATAACGATTATTATATTGAACATGTATTTATTGAACAGTTAAGAAGAAATTTAAAAAATATTTAAAAATAGAAAGGAAAAATAATATTCTTCTATAACTAATGTAAATGATGAAATTTATAAATGATTAAAATGTCATAAACCATTCATGGTAGACATTTTTTGATAAATAAATTTTTTCATCTACATTTTAGAATATAAATGAATATTAAATATTTTGATTAATATATATATTTTTTTTTTTATTAATAGTTTTAACAAATACATATTAAAAGATTAGACACATATAAAAAATTATGTGAAATACAATTTATCGAAGAAACACTTGGATAAAAATGGTTATCATATTTTTTTTTTTTTTTTTTTTTTTTTTAAAGATTTTTTAAAAGAAGTTTTTAGATTTAACTAATAAATTACATCATGGTTATTTAAATATATTTTTTTTTTAATTGTAAATTCAACAAAATTGTTTATAGAAAAAAATATTATTTTGCATTTTCCTTAAATTTCAAAACTTTAAAAAAGTCTATTATAGTAACTTTTTATATATTAAATAACTAATTCAATATATAATTCTTAATCATAATTTTTCCATGAAATTAAAATTTATTTCATATATTTTTACAAAAAAAAGTTTTGACTTAAAGTTTTTTATATAATTTTTTTCACACTTGCAAATATGTGTTAAAGCATAGAAAAAAAACATTGTACTGCATATATTTATTTTTTTAAATAAATAAGTTGTCAAGTTTAAAAATAATTAATTTTAATTAAATTATAAATACTTCAAAATAATATAATATATTAGTTCTTTTTATCACTTTAAGTACTCACACATTTTTTATTATGCATCATTAAAAAATAAATGGAATATATAATTTTCCAAAAGAAAAAGTATATTAAGATTATTTATCTGAGTTGAAGAAAATAAACAATGGAAAGTAAAAAATTAATATTTTTTGCACACATAAACAAATAAATATTAATGCATTTGGTTATATTTTTAGCATCCTGTTAAAATAATAATACCTTTTATAATATTTAGGAAGTGCAGAAATGGTCAATTCATAGAAATAATTGTGAACATGCATTATAATTTCATCTTTTTTGTTTAGGTAAAGAGAATATTTATTGTAATATTTAAATATAAAAAACGATTAATGTAATTATTTTTAATGAATTCGTTAATTTTTTTTTTTTTGTATTTTTATCATAGTTGTGAATAATTTTTACAAATGCAGAAAATGAGTGTTCATTTTTTAAAATATTTTACGTTTGATTATATTACACCATACATACTAATATTGTTTAAGATCTTAGAACAATTCAGAGAAACTAAGAAAGAATTATGAATTATTTAAAAAACAAATAATAATGCACTGTCTATTTCTTTAAAAAAAAAAAAGAAATACATGTTTACTGTGTAATTCGTAAATATTTTAATGTTTGGTAGTACATATACATATGTAAAATATAAGTTATTGAGAAATAATAAAAAAAATTAAGGTCTAAAAATATTAAATTTTGAATCTTTTAAATGTCTTCAGTTAATTTTTAAAGTAAAAAAAAATATACTTATGTAAATGCGTATAAATAATTTGAAAGCAAAAAGAAATATATATAAATAATTCTTTTTTAAAGTGATTAAAATAAAAATTTTAAAATACATGAAATTATTAAAAATAAGATATGTTCCATAATTTATTCTCTATATCACATGCATGCAATTTTATTAAACTGTGAGATAGGCACTTAGAATTTTGAGCTACTAAACAAAAAAATAAGAAATATATAAGATTAGTTCTTAATTATAATATACTCTAAAATTAGTCTAATTTTTTTTTTTTTTTTTTTTTTTAATTATCATTATTTTATTTTATTTTATTTTTTTCATTATTATTATTTTGTTTTGTTTTCTTTTCTTTTAATTATTATTTCATTTTATTTTTTTTTAGATTATATTATTGTTTATATTTGTATATTTTATTGTGGCACATGTGTATTGTAGTAAAATTATTATTTTATCATATTACCATATAAAATTCTAATAAGATTTATAATTTTTTTAATATAATAGATAAAATGAAATTGACATTAAGCTTAATTTTTGTACTTGCACTTGCAAGTATTTATTATAATGCTCACTTTTTTGCTCATTGTGTAATAAATGATTTGAAGGACACACAAAAAAATAAATTCTCTCAATCCAACAGTAAAATAGATGAAAAAAATACAAGAGATATACCAAATGAAATAAGTTACGAACGAAATGAAGAAAAAAGAAATCTCAGAAGAAAAAGAAGCATATTATTAAATGATTATGAAAAAATCAATTTTGTAGATTCTATGGAAGATAATGTGAATAATCAAAAATTCGAAGGTGAGAATAAGGATACTACACAAGATTCATCTGAAAATATAAAAAAAAATAAATTAGATGAAATACATTCCGAAAATAATAGTAATACACTGTATAACGAAAATGCAGATATTATAGCAGACAATGAAGAATTAAATAATTTGTCAGTAGGAAATAATGAAGAATCTGATAATAAAAACTTATTGCATAATATACATGTTAATACAAATAGTGAGCATGATATAGGTGATGTTAATAATGAACATGGCAAGAATATTGCAGATGTAGCTAATGATTATACAGAAAGTAAAAAATATCCTTTTAATGAAAGTGTTGAAACAAATGGAAAAATTAAACAAGAATATAATAATAATTATGATTTAAAAGATGGATCATATACTAATGAGAGTTCTGACATTGAAGGTGTTCATACAAATAATTTTAGTACAAATGAAAATTATCATACTTCTGAAGCTATTCCATCCGAAGGTGAAAATGGTTATTATAACAATGGAGGTAATGTGAATGAATCTGATTTAAATGAAAGCTTTCTTACACCATATGTTACTCAACCTACAAATATGGATGAGATTTATGATACTTCTGAAGTTATTCCATCTCAAGGTGAAAATGGTTATTACAACAATGAAGGTTATGAGAATGAATCTGATGTAAATGAAGACTTTCCAACACCATATGTTACTCAACCTACAAATATGGATGAGATTTATGATACTTCTGAAGCTATTCCATCTCAAGGTGAAAATGGTTATTACAACAATGAAGGTTATGAGAATGAATCTGATTTAAATGAAAGCTTTCTTACACCATATGTTACTCAACCTACAAATATGGATGAGAATTATGATACTTCTGAAGCTATTCCATCTCAAGGTGAAAATGGTTATGACAATGAAGGTAATGATAATGGATCAATTATAAATGAAAACTTTCCTACACCATATGTTACTCATCCTACAAATATGGATGAGAATTATAATACTTCTGAAGCTATTCCATCTCAAGGTGAAAATGGTTATTATAACAATGAAGGTAATGTGAATGAATCTGACGTAAATGAAGACTTTCCTACACCATATGTTACTCATCCTACAAATATGGATGAGAATTATAATACTTCTGAAGCTATTCCATCTCAAGGTGAAAATGGTTATGACAATGAAGGCAATGAGAATGGATCAATTGTAAATGAGAATTCTAATATAACAAATTCTAGTGAACTTAGTTCAAGCACAGATGAGTATAATCATAACGAAAGTCATGGAGAAGATGAAATACATATATATGATTGTTATAATAGTCAAAGTAATGAAAAAGATAAATTAATTGTAGGTAAATGTACTAATAATGAAGGTGCAAATACAGATACTTCTAATAATAATGATATTAATAAATATAAACAAAATGGAAGGAAACTTTGTATTACTTTACCTTCACTTCCAAAAAATTCAATAAACATAATAATTCATTTACCTATAAATATAGGATATTTACAAGAAAAAATTTTACATTCGGAATAAAAAATCATTAAAAATTAAAAAAGAAGCTATATAATAATTATCAAAGTAGCATGAATCTACTGATTTGTTCTCTTATACAAATTTTTATTCTATGTAAAAGGAAAATTACAAAAAAAATACATAAAAATTTAAAAATTACAACCTAATGTTTTTTTTTTTTTTTTTTTTTTTTTNGTAGAATATAATTAAAATTAAAAATTATATAGAGAATATTTATTATTTTCATTTTTTAAATGTTTTCATTAGGCTTTTTTATTTAATGTAAAGAGATATTTCACAAAAAATTTTATTCATTATAAAAGTGCAAAAAAAATTTTTTAACTATTAATATATTGAACAAAATAATAAAAAAGAGTATTAAATATATTTTAATGGAATAATAATTTTTCATATTTTATTATAATTTGTTTAAAAAAATTAACTTTTTCAAAGAATATTTAAGCAAATACACACTTGTTAATGTTACTTACGTGTTAAATATTCATTAAAAAAAAAAAAATATGAAGAATCTTCCTATGTTCAATGTTTTTTTTTTTTTTTTTTGTCTTCGAATAACTTGAATGAACATAAAATTATAAAATAAATAAAAGAATATAATAACTTTCTAAAAATTAATAAAATAGTTATATATTTCATTTAAATTTAAAGCAGTTTTTATACTTTTTAATAGATATTCTCAGGGAATATTCGTAATTTTTTTTTCTGTAAAGAAAACATTAAAATATACTTATCTAGTGAGGATTATTCTGAGATTTTTATAGGTTAATATTTCTAAATGTACTTTTTTTTTTATTTTTTTTTAAAATATTAATTTTTCAAGTACCCATTTTCATTTTATCTATAAAATATCAATTGTATTTAATAATTATTTCAATATAAAAAATTCCTACTAATGAAAAACTTCATTTTTCTTAAATGTTTTTATTTTTTTTATAAGCATAATTTTGCTACCATTACTGTTCTAAGAAATATTTTGGGTTTATATTTTTAAATAGATAAGAAAAAATATAAAAATAATTGTGGTGTTTTTTTTTTATTTTATTTTGTTAATTGTATATTTTTAATTAAAAATTTTTTTATGCAATAAGTGTTTGTGTTTCTATTATAATAATATTCAAAAAAAAAAAAGTATTTTCAAAGTATTTTTTTAAAGTTTATATAACGAGTAAAAAAAAAAAATAGATTGGAGACATTTTTATTATTTAAAATATAAGCATTTAATGATACTTAAATTTAACTATTTAATAAAATTTTTAATATGCATTAGAAAACATCGATAAAACTACTGGAATTATTTCTATATTTTTTAAAAAAAATGAAGATGTTCTACATTTAATAATTATGTATAGATATTTCATAATAAAATATATTAATGATATATAAAAATAAATATGATAATCTCTATATTACCTTATTTCATTATTTAATAATTATTACAAATTTATTGAAGTTATATTTTACACATTACATGTATTACCATTATAATGTAAAAAATAAAATATTAAACTTTTATTAAATATCTTTTTATGAATTTTAAAACCTAAAAATTATTTTTTTTTTTATATTGTAATTCATTTAACAATAATATTTAGGAAATATTTTAAATTATATATCTATATATAAAAAAACAAAACTTAACAATTTTTATTATAAAGAAAATTAATTTTTCTGAAATATTTCTATATAATTTAAATAACACTATATAAATTTTTTAATTAAAATGAATCAAAAATAACCTTTTAATAAAACACTAGGATTATTAAACTTTGATTTAATGTTGAAAATCATCTTTTAATTAAAAGTTAGTATATTTTATGAAAAGAAAAAAAAAATCTTTTATAGTTTACTTTATTTATATATATGTATATATATATTTTTCTTTTTTTTTTTTTAACTTTAAAAAAAAAAAGAATATGTAAAATAATTTATTTATTAATGGTTAAAAAAATGTTAAACACAATAAAATATGATGAAATAAATAATTATCTTACAAACTACGGAAATTATTGTTCAACTTAAATACTCGAAAATTTAAATTTTATATTTCAATATCAATAAAATTTTTTTTTTCTGCTATAATTTCTTATAATATACATTTAAATTTAGGTTTTTTTATTTTTTAAACAATTTATCGAGGAAATATCTAAATATAACTTTTGTTGAGGGAACATATATAATTATTCATAGTATTATAATGAAAAAAAATTATATATAATTTTAATAAATGATTTATTAAAAAGTTGATAATAAATTCAAAAGGATAAATTTTATTGAAAAATGGATGAACAAAATAAGGTATTAAATAAAATATGAATAGGTTTAAGAAATGAATATTTATTTATGAAACAAAAAATATGTAAAATAAATATTTATTTGATTAAAATATATGTTTATATACATTTTTAAATTTTAGTTAATTGAACAAATGCAAGAATTAGGCTATTCAAGAGAATTAAGTGTTAAGGTTATAAAAAAAAGTGGAGCAAAAACAAGTAATTTTGAAAAAAAAAAAAAAAAAAATACAAAATGAAATTAGGAAAATAAAATAGAAATAATATATGTTAAAATATTATTCCACTTTTATAGTTGATGAAATATTAAATTGGATAGAATTAACTGAAGAAAACGAAGATTATAATAACTCAGAAGTAGAAGACACTAGCCAAAATGATGTTAATGAAAAAAGTATGAACAATTCAGATAATATGAATAAAGATAATTTGGGTAGTACAACTGAAAATAAAACTAAATTAAGTCCTGAAGAAGTTCAAAAAAAAGCCTTAGAATTGCAAAAAAAAATTAGAGAAAAGAAATTAATAAAAGAAAAAGAAGAAGAATTACAAAAAGAAAAAAATAGAATAGCAATGGCGAAGGAAATTCAAAAAAGGAGAGAACAATTGGAAGAATATGAAAGAAAAAAATATATTGAAACGCTAGAAAGAGAAAAAAATGAACATAAAAAAGAAAAACAAAAGCAACTTGAGTTATTAAAAAGAGAGTATGAAGCAAAATTTGGTATTGAATATAAACATGAAGAAGTAAAAAAAAGTATAAACGAATTAACAGAAAATGAAAGAAGAGAAGAAATAGCTATTTTACTAAATAGTTTGAAAAATAAAAATAAAGACAAAAAAAAAGAGTTAATAAGTTCATTAAACATTTTAAAAACTTATTTTGGTAACATAAAAGATAATATTCTAGAAAAAAAGTATCAAAGAATTAAAAAAGAAAATAAAATATTTGTTGAAAAAATAAAAATTTATGAAGAAATGTTAAAAATTTTTTTATTAGTTGGTTTTGAGGATACAGGTTAAAAACATAAAAAAAAAGAAATTAAAAAATACATTTTTTTAAAATATTGAAAAAATATAAATAAAGTAATATAAATATTTGTGAAAAGAACAATTCAAAATGGAAATATATAAAAATAGTTATAATATAAAAGAAAAAAAAAAAAAGAAAAAAAAATACAAACGTAAAATTTATGTATATTATCATAAATTTTTAATTAATTCTATTTTAAAAAATATATATAAATATTATATGTACATATAAATATTTTTTTTTATAGGTGAGTTTTATGTAATAAAAAATTATCCTAACACTTATTTACTTTCATCTGCTATGAAGTTTATTGACTTAATTATAAAAACACTAAATCAATAAAATTAAATAAAATAAATATATATATAATAATTTAATTTTATTAAAAAAAAAAAAAAAAAAAAAAAAGTTGGAAAATGTATGAGAAAAAATTAAAAAATGAATAATTTAATTTAATATAATAAATGACTCATTTTATTTTGATATAACTTTTTTTAACAGATTAAAATAAATATTAAAAATTTTTAATTAAATTTTATTATTAATTTTTAATTTTTAATGTAAAGAAAGGTTTAAAGGTGTGTAAACCCATGATACTAAAAGGACGTGTGTGAGGAAATGAAAAAAATAAATGTTTTCACTTTGAAAAAAAAAAAAAATTTTTGAGTATAATTTGAAATATATATATAATAATTCCTTTTTATTTTTATAACTAAAAGTGTTGTATGCTTCTGTCAAGCAAATATTCATTTCCTTTTTAAATTGGATAACTTTTTTATATGTCAAATATTTTAAATTTCGTATATCAGTTATATTGTTTCTCTGTAAAAATTAAAAAAAAAGAAAAAAAATTTACACACTTGAAGTTAGAGAAATAATGAACTTTAATCAATATAAAGCACATTTTAAAAATATAATTTTATTATTGATAATATATATACTTTTTTTTTTTTTTTTTATTTTTACAATAAATAGGAAGTTTAATTTCTTCTTTATATGCAAATATTTATAATTATGTAAAAAAAAAATAGCTCTTTTTAAATAGTAAAAAGAAGCATTTTTTCTATGAATTAGTCTATCTTCATAATTTTTTTTATCTATAAAAAAAAAAAAAATAATAATAAATAAAATTTAAAATTATATATAATGTGCAAAAATATTTAAATTTATTATATATAAATTATTTCTATTTCTAAATACAAAATTTTAGTATCTTTTTTTTTTTTAATTATGAATGTAAATTTTATTCAGTATTACTGATGTTGTAGCTGATGAACTTAAATAAATTTTTATGTATTATATTATTTTTATTTAAAATTAATTTATAATTTTTCTTAATGTTTTCCTTGTTTAAGAATTTAGAATATTTATTTTTAAGTTTTTTTAAAAAGAATCTTATCCATGCTATGCATAGAATAAGAATGAAAAACATGTAAATAAATGTATAGTTATCTTTACAAAATAAGTAAAAGACATTCATTAGTAATAATATATTATTTTTATATAAATATAAAAATTTTAAGGTTTATACATTAAAGGATAATATTTTATATCAAAAAAATATATATATATATATATATATTTTATTTATAATATTGATATTATAATAAAAGAATTAAACAAAAATTTATATATAAAAAATTAAAATATTCCTATACATTCTTTTTAAAAGTATATTTTTCATATTTATAGAGAAAAAAAAATTATTTTACATGTATTTATAAATTTAATTATCTTTTATTTCATTATGTTTTATGTAATTTTAGTTTATTTTAATTTATCCTTATTTTATTGCTTCTTTTCATTTTATTTTAATTTTATTGTTTTATTTTATTCTATTTTTGTACTGCAATTTATTTTATTCAATATATTTATTTAATTATAATTTTTTCTCATTGTGATAAATAACAGGATTTAAAAGTACTAACGTTACTTAACACACATACATTTAATTAGTTGTGTATATAGATACTTTTTTTTTTTTTTATTTTTTCTTTAATTTGTGTTATCTCTATTTATTTATTTTTTTACAATTATAAAGTCAAAATATTTCAAATTTTACAGATTTGTTATTTTACAAGCTTAAGTATGAAGGATTATAATTTTTTTTGTAAGTTAAGTGAATAATTTATAATTTTTTTAAAGCAAATATGCGGTTATAATTTTACAACTTTTTTCACTATAATAAACTCACAACATTAGTTTTGCTTTTTTTTTTTTTTTAATATAAAAATATCAATTAATGAAAAATGAGAAATGAAAAATTTAAATGCATGGAAAAAATTCATTTGAAAGTTATTGTACTGTTTTTATACTTTCATATCCATTTTTACTTTTTCATTTTATTTTATTTTTTTTCATAGCCTTTTTTTTTATTATTTATTTATTTTTTTTTTTTTGATTGAAACAGTTAAATTATTGAATTATATGTTATATATATTTAAAAAAAAATGTCCGTATATTTCCCATTATAAAAAGGGTTTTAAAATAATGAAAAAACATTTTTATAGAAATTCTTTGTAAAATAATATGCAGTTATAATTTCACATAAGAAACATAAATGAAGCTAAAATATTTTGCGTTAAATTCAAATTTAATATTTTAATTTTTTGTTACAATGAAATATATTTGAGAAATTTTGTTAATAATATTATTTTTCAACAATAATATTATATAGATTTTAATAAAAATTTTTGAAAAATATTTTTTTGTTTATATTAATGTGTGTGTAAATTTTATTTGAAACAAAAATGTATTAAATACGAGAAAGAAAAGCTCTTATTTTCAACTTTAAATTCCTTCATTAATGTCTTTGAGATTAAATAATAGAATATAATTTATTATAAAGAATTATGAGAATCTTTTTTGAAGTTTAAAGTATTTTAGAAAAAAATTTATCGTTTTTATTAAAATGATTACGAGATTTGAAAATATTTTTATTCATTTTTATTAGTTTAAATGATTAATTTAAAGTAGAAACAATTATAAGTATTTACAATAAATTTCTCTGAAGTTTTATTTTTTTGTCTAAATATTTTGAAATCTTTATTTTTTAAAAAAAATAGAAGAATATAAAAGTTAATATTGATAATTAAGAATAAAATTACACATCTATATAAATTAATAAGAAAACTTAGATTATTTTTGTCATTAATTATTTTAAATTACCTCTACCACATTGGAATATATATTTTTTATGCTATTTTATTATTATTTTTATAATTTAAAAAGAAGAAACAGAAAAGAAGAGGATTATTTCTTTTTGTAATAGGAAATTGATAGATTTTTTTTACATAAATTAATACGTCACAAAATATTTTTTATAAAGAAAAAATGCAAGAAAACAGAGATAATGTTATTACACTCGAATCTTATGAAGAATATATAAAAAAAAAAATTACTCCCACTGATTTATTTTATATTGAAGATGTAATAATATAAATTAAGTATTAGGCATAATAATTGAATTTTTTTTATATATATTATTTTTAATTAAAGATAAAAAATAGTATATTTATTTTTATTTTTTTTTTTTCGTAAGGAAGAGCTGCTATTTGAAATATTTACATTAGGTTTAAAAAGTAGAGGAATATTAAGTAAAGAAGATTTCAATAGCACTTATAAAAAAAAAAAAAAAAATGAAAAAATAACTGTAAAAGAAGAAAATAAAGAAAATATAATATGGGATATTAATATATTATATAATAGTACAAATGATTTTTTTTATATAATAAATTATCACATACATTTTTGTAAAGAAAATAGAATTAGTACGATTTTGTTTATTCGTTATCTTAACAAAAGTAAATCTGAAATTAGTTCTTACATAGATATTAATAATAACAAAGTAATAGAAAAAATAAAAAATAAAAAATATATATATGCTAGTAAAAAAGATTTATCTTATTATAATTGGAAAAACAACTATATTTCCACAAATAGTAATGAAAATTATGAAATAATTATAAATAAAAAAATTGGTTTAATTTTTAAACATAAAAATTCTGAAAAATATTTTATGTTAAATTCAAGTAAAGATTTAAAAATAAAATTATGTGATAACATATATAAAGATAATATAAACACATATTTTGGTGAAAATGAAGAAATAATAAAATTATGTGATGATATTAAAAAAACTGAAATAAAAGATTCCAATTATTTACAATGTTTACTCTACACACTTCCCTTATAGAATTTTTTTTTTTTATTATCTTTTTTTTTTTTTTTTATATATTTTATTGTTTCTATTTAGTATAGAGGATATATTTTATAATTATATTTAAAATTATAAAAGAACTAATGATTTTATTCTCTTTATTAAAAAAATACATAAAAAAAAAAAAAAAAAAGGTTTTTTTTAATTTGCTTTTTTTTTTTTAAAGGAAAAAAATTGTTTCTTTACGGTGCGTAGCATTTTTTTTTTTTTTTTTTTTTGAAATGATAAAAGAAAAAATGAATTCTAAATGTTGGTAATAAATATAAAAAAAAATTATAAATTAAAATAACCTACCAAAAGATATAAACAAATGTATATTTTAATTTCCTAGTATAGCTATTTTGATATATTATAATGATGCTGTTTTCCCCAAAAAAGAAAAAAAAATATATATATAATTAAATGATTTTATTTTATAGATAAAATTATTTTGAAAATAATAATATTATTTTTCTAAAGAAAAAAAAAATTGCGTACATTTTGATAACATCAAATTTTGAAGTTATGGAAAATATAAAAATAAGTTATGAAGAAAAAGAAAAATTTCATAAAGCTTTTAGACAGCATGAATTTCGAATATTATTTGATGAATATTTTGATGAAATATCGGATATAAAATATAGAAAAGAGAAAGAGGATTATCTATTAAGTTTATATTTTAAAGGTGAATTAAAAAAGGATCAAATTCTAATTAAACCAATTGAAGCATTTTGTGTTAAAACAAAAATTCTTTATGCAAATCAAACCAATCAAAAATTATTTTTAAATATTTGTTCACACGAAGGGATTGAAAATATATCATTTCAAAATATTTCCAATAAATCAGTAAATATTCCTTATTCTCTTTCTCAAATTAGACCTGATAAATATGGTAAGAAAAAAAAAAGTAAATAATGAATTTATAGAAATTTTCCTAAATAAATAAAATATATGCATTTATTTTTTTTTTTTTAATTAAGGAAACAATTTAAGTTGTTTAACAATTGACTGTTGTGTTAATCCATCTACTATAGATGTAATAAGAAGCTACAACGAAATATTAAATTTTCTTTTAGAAGATATTTGCTTAAATATTGAAAAAAATATTATGAAAGATAAAGAAAAAATATGTCTAGATTTTAAAATTTTAAGTAATATAAAATGTAAAGGTGAAAAACCTTTTTTATTGTGTATTAATAAGAATGTCCTTAAAAAAAATATTTTAATAGAAGAAGAGAAAAAGTTAGCTAACCTAAAAAAGGAGTATGAAGAAAAAAATGTAGTATCAAATGATATCAGTGAAGTTCTAAATAAAAGCAAAATAAAAACTGAAATAAAAACAGGCAAACAAAATGAAATAGATATTTTAAACGAACAAGAATTAAATATTTCTACAGAAATAAAAAAACCAAAAGTTGAAAAAAACAAAGTTTTTATATACCATCAAGGTTCTTTAAATACATCATCTTTCTTTAAAATAAAAGAATTTGATAACATTTCTCTTAATTTACCGAATAAAATAAAAGTTTTAATTAATACAGATAGCTATGTTAATAAGAATGATGTTAATATAATCATTGAAAAAAAATTGCTTAAATTAAAATTTACCAATGAGGAGGAGAATTTATGTATAAATTTACCATATCCTTGTAGTGATGAAGATTATTATTGTGTTTTAAAGAAAGATAAGAAAAGAATTGAAATATACTTAAATTTATGCGAAGAATTTGTTAAAGATTATGCTAAAAGTATGTATGAAAAGTATTTTTCTAACAAAAAAAATGAAGAAAATGATTCACTGAGTTATATTGACGATGTAGTGAAAAATTATGAACAAAAAAAAATTATAAAAGAAGAAAAAGACAAGGAAAATAAAGAAAGAGAATTTGGAGAAGAAAAAGAAGAGTTAAGGGTTGAAACTGAAAAAATTATGATTGAAGAGGATGAATATAAAAATTGTTTTGAAGAAACAAGTCATAAAATTTTAAAAAATGAAAATTCTTCAATTAAAGAAAGTAAAGATGAGTCTCCTCCTTGTTTGGAATATAAAGATTACACACTAAAAGAAAAAATACATAAGGATGAAAAAAAATTAATAACGAATAATTATGAAGCAAAATCATATTATTCATTAAATATAAATGATAAAAAAAGTTTTTTAAATTTTAATATAGAAGAAAAGTTAGATTGCAGTTTTCATGGAGATAACAGAAAAAAAAAAAAAAGTGAAGAGGAAAATATAAATGAAGAAAAAAAAATAAATGAAGAGGAAAATATAAATGAAGAGGAAAATATAAATGAAGAAAAAAAAATAAATGAAGAAAAAAAAATAAATGAAGAAAAAAAAATAAATGAAGAGGAAAAAATAAGTGAAGAAAAAAAAATAAATGAAGATATTTCACAAGAGAATAAAATATCGTCTAGTGATACATTAAATAAGACTAATAATATGTTATATAATGAAAAAGCAATATTTCCTAATGATATGAATATAGAAGTTATTAATGAAATGAGTTTATCTAGCACTGAAAAAACAATTAACAGAAGAATATCAACAGAAAGTTCTGAAAATAGAAATATAAGAAGAAATTGTAAAAAGCTAGCTGAGAATGACGAAAATGGGATATCAAAAAATAAAGTTGATTTTAATGAAAGTGAATTTTTATGTGATATTAATTTTTATAAAAATGCAGACAGAGGAGTTATTTTTTCTTGCATGCTATGGACAACATATATGTAAAAAGGAATATAAATAAAAAGAAGAATAAGACAATAAAAAGGGTTTACAAATTTCATACATTTTTGAGAATAATTAAAAATTTTTCATATTTTCAATATAATACTAGTATAAGAAATGATTTTACTCTTTATTTTTATAATATTTTAATAAATTTAAATTGAAAACCAAATATTAAAAAATTAAAACTTAATTTTTCCTTTTGTTTATATCATATATAAAATTTCCATATAATCTAATTATTTTATATAGTAACAAAAAAAAAAAAAAAAAAAAAAAAAAAAAAGCGTTATTCTCTTATATATTTATTACTTTTGGGGTAAATATATTTTATATATATGGAAAATAAATTCTATATATTTTTGCTTAATTTTTTTTATAACAGTATAATATATACATATGTAAATTTCAATAAATTCTTAAAATATAGGAAAAAAAAAAAAAAAAATACATATATACTTTATGAATATAAAATATATATGGATGCTTTTCTTAATAAGTATTTTTATGTACATTATGTATTAAAATTTTATAAAGTTATAATTTTTATTTAAAAGAGGATTTTTTTTTTCTTTAATTTATATAATTAAAAATCATATAATAATTCTTAGTAGTCAAAATGTAATTGTGTGTTTGTTACTGTAAATTCTTCAACATAGAGTTTTGTTATATTAACAATTCTTACAATACCTCCGCTACTATTATCATTATACATAGCATATTTTACACAATTTAAAATTAAGTCAAAACATTCTTTTTTATTCATATTCTTTTTATATTTGTCTTGTAAATATGATTGAATATAAATACTACCACTTCCACTAACTGCAAAGTCAAATCTTCGAATTATACTTCCATTTAGATTTACTGAATAAAGCTGTTGTTTTTTTTCTTTATCATAACCACCAAATATAAGACCACAAGATAAAAAATTATTATTTGCATAAACTAGTTTTTTAGTAATATATGCAACATTTTCTACTAAAGGGTTGTAATCCATGAATTTGTCATTATAAAAATATTTATTTTTAGTTATTAAATCTGTATTATTTTTGTTATTTGTATTGTTAATCTTATCTATATCTATGTCTTCGCTGTTTATATCTTCACTTATAGAATCATTTTCATGAAATCTTCCTTTTTTTCTATTTTCGCTTTTCATTGCTAAACAATAATGTTTTATAATTTCAATTACTTTTTGACTATGAGCTGAAGCACCACTTCTGCATACATAAATATTTTCGTTAATTCTATTAATTTTTCTTGAACATTTATTACTAATGAATGTACCTGATGAAGTTCTTGTATCACAAGCTAGCATGACTCCATGATCATATATTATACCAATTATTGTTGTTCCGTCAGATATCGGTTTTTTAATATCATATATGCAATTAGCGAAATCCAAATTTTCATTTACTGATTGCATTTTTATATTTTCTAGTTCCATCATTCTGTTAAGTTATATATATATATACGAAAAAAAAAAAAAAAAAAATGGAAAAGCTTGAGGAGAGTATAAAAATATTTAAGGAAATCGTGTATTCTATATTTTAATTTTATAAACTTTAAATTAAAAAACAAATATATATAAGTTTATTTAAGTTGTGTACTAAATTTTTAGTATCTTATTCTTTAAATTTATTCAATGTAAAATGAGCAAAAAAAAAAAAAAAAAAAAAAAAAAAAAGAAAACAATACAAAATGAAATATTATAAAACTCTTGTATTATGCGAATGAAACATTTTAAAATCATTAACTAAATAATTTATATAATAATTTTTTATTATTTATATACATATAATTTTTTTTATTTCAGAATTTAATATATACATTTTTTTATATAAAATTTGTTTCTTTTAAATAATTGTAAAAATTAACGAATTATTAATAGTATGTTTTTTACTAAAAATAATGTAATGAAAAATTTTTTTTTGAGAAGTTTTGATTATGTATACTTTTTTTACATGATATAAATATCAAGTAAATGAGAGAATTTTTTCTTTTCAAAGAAATCATTAAAGAAAAAAAAAAAAAAAAATTACATGAATGCATACATCATTTAAAGTAGCTTTCTTTTTTTATAAATATTACTATTGTATTTCTACTAAATTTTACATTCTTAAAATTATTTAATTTTTTTTTTTTTTAAGTTTATATAAAAAGGGAATATATTTTTGTAGATTTACACATTAAGTTTTAAAAAATATTTTTAATTTTAATACGTTAAAATAAATGAATATATTATCAAATTATCTATGTTGATTTTATAACAGTTTGTAATATTCTTTCTTTTTTCTAAGTCTTTTTATATTTTCTATAATTAGTTTTTATTCATATTATCGCATAAAAAATACTCTCAATTTATATTAATTAAAAAAAAAAAAAAGGAAAAAAAAGAAATTTTTTTTTAGTATTATTATAATATATAAAAGAAAAATAAAATAAAAATGAGATGAGATTAATTCATGTTTTTTTTTTTTTTTTTTTGTGATAATAAATTAAATATTTCTTTATTTATAAAGAAAAAATATAAGATAATTTTTATAATTTCTTTTAAAATAAAAAAAAATAATTTAATATACTAATTTTATTTTATTTTTTTTTAATTCTAATATAAGATGAAACACTTTTATTCATATGGTTGAATTAGTTAAAATTTTACCTTTGATTTCTTTCTTTCTTCAAATTTCTTCGCTTACATCCAATGAGTTGTCTTCAAGAACAGAATTCCATTCGTCTTTATTTTGAGTTACTAAATTCTTAAGAATATAATATATTTTATAATTAAATAAAATGATTTGCTATGAATTATTAATTTAAGAAAAGATAAAAAAAATTTAATAAATAAAATGCATGAATATAAATATTATAGTACCGTAACATAATCAATTAAATCTCTTTCATTATAATCTCTTAAATTTATAACTTCCTTGTTATTTTCTAATACTTCTAATACTCCTGAGACATTCCTGAATGATTAAAATTAAAGTTATTATATATAATATATTTTAATTTTACTGAATTATTTGATAGGTATATTAAAAAAATAAAAAAGTGCTTACCTTAAATATACTTTTACTTTATCTTTTAATGGAGATGGGTCAACTTCTTTTACCTCAAATAGTTCAACATTTTCTTCGATATTATTATGTATATTCGAAAAAATTTTTGTGTCGTTTTCTTCTTCATATTTTTCGTATATGTATTCTTCGTCAGCAAATAAAACAATAACATGTGATGGCAAATATTGTAGACAGTTATTTGCTTGTATATTAGTACTTGGAAATCCTTCAACAACATATCCTCTTTTTTTTTTTGCATCCAAATTACTTAATGTGGTTTTAATAATAGAAGAAACTAAATCATCATTTACTAATTAAAAATAAAAAAAAAAAAAAGTTTTAATTAAAAATTTATAGAAAATTTTATTGAAATTTTACCAACTTATAAACTTTCATTTTTCTTTTTTCTTATTTATTAAAAAAAAATATAATAAATATATGTATAACTTTTTACAGCAATAAAAAAATTAACAATTGATATATAGTAATAAAAAATATTATAACTATTATTTATTATCTGTATTGTTATTTATTGTATCATTGCTTATTTTTTTTTTCTTTTTTTTTTTTTTTTTAATGGTATATTTATAGGTATATATTTTTATTTTTATTAGTACTTAATTTTTTATTTATTGAATTTTCTTCAATATTATTTATGTCATATGAAATATGAGATTTAATCAGTTCAGAAATAGAAATATGATAATAATCAAAAGTTTTAGAAATTGAAGATGAAAGTACTGATGTAATTTTTAGCAAGGGAGGGCCAATTATGAAAATTTTATTTAATAGAAAAGAATAAATATTACTATATATATAAAAATATATGTTTTCTGGTTTGTTTATTAAAACATTTTTTAAAATAATATCAAATAATTTTTTAACTTTTTTTTTGCGAATGTATTCATTTGTTTCTTCTTCAAATTTTTTTAAAGTTTCACTGTCTAATAGAGTTTCCATTATTAATTATTTATTTTTCATTTTTTTATTAATATCAACAATACAAGATAATGATTTATTATAATAGCTAATTTTTTTTTTTTTTTAAGAGTTTTTTTTAACTAAAGCTTCATTATATAGTATGCATATCTTTATTTATTTGCTAATATTTAGAAAGGAATACACAATTAGCAGAAAATTATTGAAAATGGGAAATCAAAACTTAAAATAATTTTTTATTATCCACTTAATTTTATTTACACACACACACACACACAAACGTATATGTGTACATTTAAAATGTTTTTTTTATGTTAGACATTTTATCATAAATAATATACTTTTTTTTTAAAAATTATAAAAAAAATATTATTCTAAACATATTTTCTTATATAAGATTGATTTGTATATTCATTATATCTTTTTTTTTTTTTTTTAGCAAAAAACATAAAAAATCTATAAATAAAAAATTATAGATATGTAAAAAATTGCTATATATATATTCGATTATTATTTTATTTTTCCATAATTTTAGGTTGCTTAATAGAATCTTTCAAATATAAAAAAAAAATATACAAAAAATTTCTTAGGTATATTTTATATTTATATTCGTGAAAAAAATATTTTAAATATATATATATTTTTTTTTTGTTCTGAATTTAAGGAATTTATTCAATTATATATTTTTTTTGTTTAAATATTTTAAAGTGAATTTCATAATATATAAAACAAAAAGAAAAAAAAAAAAGTTAAAATTGTTTTGTTTTAAGTGTAAAATGATTTTTTATTTTTGTAACAATATTGTGAATTAAATGTAGTTTACTAAAACATGAATATAAAGATATTACAAATTATTATATATATATATTTTTTTTTAAATATGAAATAACTTTTATAAACTTAAAATGTTAATATATTTTATAGTTACATATTACAGTTAAAGAATTTAAAATTTTGCGATATATATATTTTTTCCTTTTTTTTTCTTTTTCTTTTTTTTCTTTTTTGTTTCTTTTTTTTCACTGTTTCTCTGGTTTAAATAGAAAAATTATTTGTTAAAAAATAAAATTTGTAAAAAATTTTATGTAAAAATTGCCAACTTGTTTTTAAAATTTTAATGTATTAAAAATATATGCACTGTTAATAAAATAACTACAAAATAATTTTGTTCATAGTTTTTTTTTTTTTTTTGTGTAAAATTTCAATTTACACACATTAAGTTAATATAATGGTTAAAAATGAAATTTTTTAAACAAATTTTCTTATATTTATATCCAAATATTGAAGTTAGAATCTGTTACATTTAATATAATATATAAAATTATGTTCTTTTTAACAAATAAAAAGCTATAAGAATTATCTATAAAATTAGTACATAAATATTAAATCATTTTAATTTTAATCATCACTAGGTGCCCTTAAAATTATGTACATGTAAATGCATATAATAAAAAAAAAATTATGTGGAAAAATCAGTCACAAAAATTTTCAATGTTTTTTTTTTTCTATTTTTGAATTTTTATTGCTCTTCATTAATTTTTTTTCTGATGTCTCTTTTAATTTAATTTAATGTTTCAACTTTAATATTAAAACTAAGTCAATATTTAATTGTCTCTCCATTTTCTTTTTTTTGTTTTTAACATACTTTTATATCTATATCCATATACTTTTTCTTATTAAATTATTATTTTATATAAGATAAAATGGCTTTAAAAAAAATTTATAATGGCCATTTTCGTAGAATACCATCATGGTAAAAATTAAAGCATTATTAATTAAAGTTTAATTTTAAAAATATATATATAGATATTTAAATATTTATACATATGCATTTACACTATTAAAAATATTATACACAAATTTTTTTAACAGCGAAAAAATTGAAAAAAGATTTTCTACTGATAAAAATGTGAGGAATTAATAAAAAAAAAAAAATTATATTTATATTAATACTTTTTTTTTAACTTGTATATATTTTATAAGTAATAACATATTAGGATACAATTTTTCCCCTCTTTTCTAAATATATATACACCATAAATATATATAAATGTGTAACTTTTTATATAGGTCGAAAAATCAAATGAGAATCAAAATTCTGAAAAAAAAGGTAAATATGTTAATAATTAAAAATTAATATATTTTTTTGTTTTACCTATAATTTTAATTTGAAAATTATATAAATTTTCATTTTTAGTAGATTATGGAATTGTTGATAACATAATATATGGAGCAGGTATTATTTCATAATTTTCCTATTTTTAAAAAATAATTTTTTTTGTATATGCATGTATAATTAGTTGAAATATGTGTTGTCTTTTTTCCTCAAATATGAAAAAAACATCTTTATTATAATACATCCTTTATTTGTGTATACTTATTTTTTCAATTTACCATATATATTAATAACTCCGCTTATACATTCAATTATCTATTTCATAACCATTTTATTTTTATAGGTATAGGTGTAGGAGCAGTAGGATTAGCTCTTGCAATCATAAGTTCCACAGTTATTGCCTCCACATTACTATTTTCTACATATTTTTGCGTAAATACATGCAATGCAAAAGAAGAAGAAATAATCGATGGATATCAATAAATATTGAATTATTAAAAAAAAAAAAATAGCTTTTAAACAAAAATTTAAATTTCTTTTTTATTTTCCTTTTTTTTTTTTTTTTTTTTGAATATTTTTTTAAAATACTTGAAATTGTATTTTAATGATCCAACATTTACTAAATTAAAAAGATATTTAAAAAAAAACTTTTGCCAATTATAAAAATTTTTGAGGAACGAAAAATAAAATAGGATTTTAATTTTGTAACTTTAGATTATTTCATCTACTTTATTGTTACAGTAGCATTCTAAAAAGAAAAAAAAAATAAATGAAATATACATTCAAAATTTTAAAAGAATATTAAATATTTCAATAAATTAATTATAAAATCATGAAGATAATTTTATTCTTTTTGAATTAATGTGAATTATAAAAATAATTACCTATTATCATATCCATATAATCACTTTTCGGCAGGAGCATATATTCACAAGTTGTTTCTAAAAATAAAATTAATAAAAATTAAATATATATCTTTATATCAAATATATTTTACTATAAGAATATTTTTTTCTTTTCTATTTTTTTTTTTTTTATTAATCTATTTTTTAAGCATATTTAACCTGTTATATATGTAATTTTGTTGTAATACACATGTTGAGTATACCATTTTTTGAATAGAATATTCATATTTTTTTTGACAATCTCATCGGAGCTAGATGGATTACTATATATATTTCCTTTCCTCTTTTTTTCTTTTTTTGAAGTTCTTTTATTAATCAAACTCATCTTTATAAAAAACTTTTTTTTTCTCTTTTTTTTTTCTTTTTCATAACATTCTAAAACATTAATCCTTTTTTCAATAGTGTTATTAAAAAATTCGATTATGTTAAAAGGACCTAAAGCTTTTAATCCAATGAAACATTTACCTTCTATGGAAGAGCTATCATTTTCTAAACTTCTTACTTTTCCCTTTATTAATATAATTGCATAATTTAAAAAAGTATTTTCTTTCAATAAATATTCATTTTCATATATGGTTTCTATTTTCCTTTTGTAGACATACTTACTTATTAAATGAGTATCTATATACTTAAAATAAATATTTTGTTTAAGAAAGCTTATAATTTCTTTTTTATAATTAAGTAAAATTTGTGATCTTTTAATATTTGATTCATTTAAAGAGTAATTTGATAAATAATTGAAGTTCTCATTTTTCTCTTCTTTTTCTTTTTTATCTTTATCTTCATGTATTCTTTTTGTTTTCTCTTCTGTTTCATCTTGCATTTTTTTTTTATATTCATTTTTTTCGTATATTTCATAACTATTATTTTTCTTTTGACAATCTGTTGACATGTTAAATGATTCATTAGAATTTTTCCAGACAAAATTGGAAGGTATATCTACTCCTTTTTTTACTTTTTTAAAATCGAATTCATCCGAAATTTCCTCTTGTAATAAAATTTCAATAACATCTTCTAGTGTTATGATACCAATATGTGAGTATTTCGGATCTACATTTTCATCATAAACAACTTTTCTTACGACAACAATGTGATTATTTGCTCTTTTAAAAAAATTTAAAAGAGATAAAATACTTTCATCATAATTTACTCCATATATATATCTACCTATGTGCTTTAATATATATTTTACTGGTATTTCTATATCTTTGTTATTGGTAATTCTTATGTAATTTTTTAAATCAGAAAATATTTCATCTATATTTTTTTCTCTATTTAAGTTTTCTTTAAATTTTTTTTTTTTAGTTATATGTTCATTATTATTACTACATAATTTTATTTTATTTTTATCACTAGAAAATGTATTTTCATTGAAAGAAGACACATTATTATTGTTTGTGTTCATCATGTTATCTGAAAGAAATTCAACAAATTTTATATTTTTATTCATAGAAGAAAAAATAAAATTACCTGAATTTTTTTTCCATTTTTTTTTTTTTTTTCTAAGCCTTAAGAATTTTCTTATTTCTTTGGAATTATAACTTAGATTATAAGGTGTATTATTATTTAAATGAACATTTTTTTCTTCTGTATAATTTTTTATGCTTTTATTTTCTAACACATTATTATGTATATTATCAATTTCTTTAATATTTATTTTTACATCATCACAGTTGAAATTGTTGCTAATATTAATATCTGTATTTATAATATAGTTTCTATCATAATTACAATAACAATTATTATTATTATGATTATTATTAATATTATTATTATTTATGTTATTATTTACATTTTCTTTATTATGATCATATTCTTCATATAGAAGATTATAATCATCAACTTTATTGTTTTTAGGAAGATATATTTTGTTAGAAATTTTTTTTTTTTTTGAGTTGTATTTATTATAATATAATATTCCATTTTTTATCCTTTTTTTATAATTTGTATAACCTTTATTATAATTTTTTTTTTCTTTTCTATAATTCATTAGTGAATTATTATCAAACAAAATTTTATTAATTCCAAACCAAATATTAATTAGATCTTTTATATGCAAAAGTCCTACTATACACTCAGAACTATTTCTATTTAAAACAGGAATTCTTGAAAATCCACTTTTCAAAATTTTCTTTAGAGTTTCATAGTTTATATTGCTATTATAATCTATACCAAATACATAATCTATATCAGTCATAATGTGTATAACTTTATATTGAGAAAGTTCTAAAGCACTTACGAGAATTTTTGCTTCATCTTCATGCAATATATTTGTTGTGTTTTTATGCATATCAACTAAGGCTTTTAATTGTTTTTTATCATAGGTATTTAGTACATTTTTGCCTATTAGAAAAATATATATATAAATATATATAAATATATATATAAATATATATATACATATATATATTTAGATTTCTATATTAATGTATTTTAACCTACAAAATGGTCTAATACAAGACTAACTGGTTTAGCAAATATGTATAGACAAAACTTAAGGAAGTAAATAAGAGGAGCAAAGAATCCTCCTATGGCTAAACCATGTTTGGAACAAATAGATTGGGGAATAATTTCTCCAAATATAGTAATAATTATTGTAGAAATAATGAAAGAGGTTAATCCACTTGTTATCTCACTTAATAATAAACTAAAAGCTGAATTAACCATAATATTTGCTGTAATAAATGTAACTAATATTTCATTAGTATTATTTCGTAAAGGTAATATTTTTCTTGCATTCTTTGCATTATTTAATTCTTTTCTATCTTTTTCAGACACTAAAATCAATAAATTTAGCTGTAAAGTATCTAACATCATTATTCCCAATGACAAACCTATATAAAAAGGAGTAAAATATATGTAGAAAATGCAAAAAAAAAAAAAAAAAAAAAAATATGAAATAATACGTGTAATAAGTAAAATGATGATACATAAAATAATTTTCAATAAATCATTTAAATAAAATTTATATATTTGCATTAAGGTTTACCAGAAAAAAGAGCGCTTAATATAGCACATATAATGATACAAACTATATTTAACCATAATGGCATTTGAATAAAATGTATTATCAAATCAAATTTATAAATATATAACAAGAAAAAAAAAAAAAAAAGCTAGAATAAAGTGTTAGAAAATAAGTAATAATTTTTTAAAACATAAATATAAAAAACAATTATAATTCCACTCTTTTTTAATAAAACATATCTTTTGTAAATAACTGATATATAAATAAATAAAATATATTTTTTTAAAAGTTATGAAAAATGAAATGTTTATATATATATATATATATATATATATATATATATATATATATTTATATATATATTATATATAAAAGATTAAATCGACAATTTTGAAAGAATATACAACTTGAAGATCAATTATATGATAAAAATGTGAATTTAAAAATTTAATGAAAACTTTAATATCATTTAAAGAACAAAGATGCCATTTATAATCAACCAACATAAAAAAAAGAAACATGTATGTGTATACTATGTATCGTCTTTTTTTTTTTTTTTTTTTTTTTTTTTTTTTTTTTTTTTTTATAAAAAATTGAAAGATAAATATTTAAAAAAGAGAAAAAAAAATTACAACTTTCTAATAAATCATATTTTATATATATATAATTTTTGGTAGTCAAATTAAATAATATTTATAAAATACTTTAAAAAAAAAAAAAAATTGTAATTTATACTTAAATTTGGAAAGAAAATTAAAAATGCTTTTTTTAGGTATGGTGATTTTCAAACTTTTATTTTTCTCTAAATACCTTAAATATTATTTTAATTTTCTTAAATTTTTCTTGAACTTTTTAATATCTTTAAAAATTTTTACTTTTAAACTTATTAAATCCTTTTAAAAGTCATAAAAGCGTAATATAATATTTCATGTTTTATTTTTTTTATTTGCTATAATGTATTTATATTTTTATTATTATAATTATTGTTAATTTATAGTAAAGTTATAATTTTTTAAAAATAACAGTATTATATATTTAAAAAAGTGGCAAAAATTGTAATATAAAACATCTTTAGTTTTTAATTCTAAAACTTTTAAATTACATGACTTGTTAAGAAAATAATAATAATTTTTATCTTTTCTATATATTTTTATATACACCTTTAAAGGTTAATATATTAACAGACAGGTGTAAATTTCTATTGAATATAAAAACAAACTTTTTTAAAATTTTAATATAATTTTTTTTTTCTAATTTTTACACTAATTCATATTTTTTTTTTTTTCATAAGAATATATTTTTTTTTAAATATGAATTTGAGTGTTAAAATTTTATTCTCAAATGTGTTTGGAGAAAAAACCATTTAAAATATATTTTTAAGGAAAATGCATTTTTTATTTTATTACTTTATATCTTTTTATTTTTTTTGAAATTTATTAACTTTATGATTTGTATTTTATTAATATCTTTTTAGATATGCATGTGCAAATATTTCAATATTCCTATTTATAATTTTTTTATTTCACTTTTTATTTTGTATGTTTTAGTGCTCCGACTTGGACAAAATATATATATTGAAAAATACTAACAGGAAAGAATGGCAAAAAACTAGAAAATTAATTTGTAAGAAAAAATATGGTTTTAAAAATATATAAAATTAAATATCATGTATCATTATTAAGATTTTTAGATATATACTCAAATGAAATAAAAAAAAAAAAAAAAAAAGTAACTTAAAGAGATATATTTCAATTTTTGTAATTTATGAAAAATATTTAGCTATAATTCAACTCTAAAAAATTTACTTCTTTTATAAGTGTTTATGTAAATTACATGAAGGGAATACATATTAAAGCTTATTATTAATTCATAAAATGGTCATATGATTTTTTTAATTTTTTTAAAATATTTTAATACATTTTTTTTTTTGAAGTTACATATTTTAAGCACGCACACAACATATAAATCATTTTTGCTTTTTTTTTTTTTTTTTTTTTTTCATTATTTAATTACAAATATTTTTTTTTTTTAAATTTCAATTTTTATTTTTTGTAAGAATTTTAAAATAATATTTGTTTTAAACGTATTTTTTATGTTGATAATTTTTTTTTATAAGCAACTCGAATAGTAAGTACAACTTATTTTACATTTTTTTATATATTATTTATTTTATTTTTTACTTTTATTATTTAAATTTTTATTTTTTATTTTTATTTATTGTTTTTTTTTTTATTTTATTTTATTTTTTTTTTTTTTTGTTTTGTATTGTTTTTTTCTGTTATTTTACTTTTTAAATTCATATACACATACCTTAATATTTTATATGTAAGAAAGAATGGAAGGAGAATATTCATGGGAAAATTATTTAAATGATCGACTTTTAGCAACAAATCAAGTGTCAGCTGCAGGTTTGGCATCGGTAATATACATATATAAGTAAAATAAAAAATTTTTTATTTTGGATTATCTAATTTTGTATATATACTATATATGTTTTTATTGTTGTGTATTTATATTTATATATTTATTAATGTGTATTATTTTTTTATTTTTTAAACTAAAATAAATATATGAGTATGTTATAACAAAATAGTTATACATTTTTGTTTTTGAAATTATAGGAAGAAGATGGTGTTGTATACGCTTGCGTAGCTCAAGCTGATGAAAATGATCCCAATTTTGATAAGTGGTCTCTTTTTTATAAAGAAGATTATGAAATAGAAATAGAAGAAGAAGTAATTAAAAAAATAAATTTATAAGGATAAAAATAGTAATTACAAGAATTAAAATTTATAAGAATTTTTTATAATTAATATATTTATATTTTTTTTTTTTTTCTTAAGAATGGAGATAAAATTAAGAAAACAATAAATGAAGGACAAACATTATTAACTGTATTTAAAGAAGGATACGCACCTGATGGGGTATGGTTAGGTGGTACTAAATTTCAGTTTATAAATATCGATAGAGATTTAGATTTCGAAGGATATACTTTTGATGTTGCTACTTGTGCTAAATTAAAAGGTGGTCTTCATTTAATTAAAATTCCAGGTGGAAACATTTTAGTAGCACTATATGATGAAGAAAAAGAGCACGATAGAGGTATATAGAAAAATATATATATATATAGACATCTTAATGGGATTGTTATTTTTTAATTTTTAATGTATACAATATTTTATTATTTTTTTTTTTTTTTTTTCAGGAAATTCTAAAATTGCAGCATTAACATTTGCAAAAGAATTAGCTGAAAATAGTCAATAAGAGAATAACTAAAAATTATAAAAACATGAAAATAGTAATAACTTGTAAAGAAAAGTAAATAATCATATTTTTTTCTTATATTAATATATTTATCATTCCTGTATTTCGTTATTTTTTATTCATTACTATGGTTATTCGTACAAGTTTGTACACTTTTTTTTTTTTTAATACTCAACTTTTTACAAAAAAAGTTGTAATTTATAAACTTATAAAAAAAAAAAAAAACATATATATATATATATATATAAGCATTTAAATATTTAAATACTAGATATGCGAAAATAATTTTTATTTTACAAAGAAAATTCTATGGAAACTTTTATATTAAAACATTATATATTAAATGTTTCCTCTTTTTTATTTTTTTTATTAAATAATTTAAGGTTATACATTATAGAATAAGTAAATTTTCTATAAAATATGAAAATACTAAGCTATATATTTAAAAGTTTGTAAAAAATTAGGTAATTTGTCTTTTTTGAAATATTAAAAAAATAAAAGAAAAAAACATTAAGTTCAAATATTTTCTAAATAGTAAACCATTATTACATTTACATAAGTAATGATGTTTTGTGATTTTTACTATTTGTTTCTGTAGTATTTTAAGGTAAATTTCCGTTTTATAAGATTGCAAAAACGTTATGAATCAATTTCACAACAAGATAATACTTTGTTATAATAAGTATAAAAAGCTAAAGTACCCTTTATTAAATAATAAATATCATGAACTCCTGCGATTTCTCTAATTGAATGCATAGCTAGTTGTGGGATTCCAATGTCTATACCTGGCATAGATAAACTGGCAGCAAGCATAGAACCAACTGTACTTCCACATGGAGTATCATTTTTAACCATAAAATTTTGATGTTTTATTAGTTCATTTTTTTCTGAAAATAATTCAAAAGTTCTTTTAACTAAACTAGCATAAAATGGAGATGTTACATAATTTTTATTTGTGTTATATTTAATAGCTATTCCCTCATGGAAATATAACTGATGGTTATTTTGAATAGTTTCAGGATAGTTGGGGTGACTACAGTGAGACATATCAACGCTTAATAATATTGATCTAGTAACTAAACTTCCATATATTTCATCTATAGATGTTTCATTATTATTTAATTCATTTTTAAAAACACATCTAATAATTCTCTCAATTATATTTTTGGTAAAATATGATTTAGCACCAACTTCACTTAGTGAACCAATTTCTTCATGATCATAACCAATACATATATATAAATTGTTATCATAATAACTATTATTATTTTTTTCATTATTTTTTATATTATTTACTAATTCAATAAATGCTTCAAAAATACAATAAGAACCAACAAGATTATCAAATCGTGGACCTTCAATAAATTCTTCATAAGCTCCTGTAAAACAAGGGTCTTGTGCATCTATTAAACATAATTCAAAATCTAATATATCTTCTTCTTTACAATTTAATTCTTTCGATAAAATATAAAGTAAGGGAGATGAGTTATTATTTATCATTTTCTTTTCTATTTCTTTTTCTTCTGTTATTTTTTTATTATCTGATAAGGAGTCATTTTTTTTAAGTATATCATTTAATGAATTTTTCATTGTATCTTTCTTCACCATATTATCAAATAATGTAGTAGAAAGGATTGGCTTCAAATGATCTTCATAATTTATATTAGGAGAAAAATCAAATCTGGTTCTTTTTTGTAAATGAATAGCCAAACTAGGTAAAAAAAATAAAGATTTATTAATTTGAATTAATTTTTCAATTAACTTATCTTCTTTTTTATATACTACTTGACCTGATAATCCCAAACCTCTATCAAACCATGTATTCCACATTCCTGCCCCATAACATTCTACATTTATTTGATTTATTTTACTTTTTATTATGTTATTATTTGGTGAAATTTTTAGAGAACAAGAATCAATATGTCCAATAGATATTAAAATAGAACCATTTTCCATATTAAAATTTTTTCCAATAAAAAAACTACATATATTTCTGTTTTCCTTAGATAAGACATAAGCCTCATTTGTTTTTAAATTCCATTTTTCCCCTTCTTTTAGATGAATAAAATTATTTTTTTTTAATTTTTCGCGTAAATTTTTACAAGCTAAAAAACTACTACCACTATTGCGAATAAATTCCAATAAATCTTGTGCATATTCTCTAGCTTTTCTATCCATTTAGAAAAAGTATAAAATTAGAAAATAAAAAAAAAAAAATTTTGGAAATTAAAAATTGTATAATATATATATATAAAATATTATTTAAGCTCTACAATAAGTTAGATAAACGAGTATACTTTTAAAAAAAAAGAATAACTGATATATAAAGTTCTTAAAAAAAAAAAAAAAATGGTTATATTGCAAATATAAATATTTTTAAAAAAACAAAATTATTTTATCCATACACATTTTATTTTATATATGTAAAAATTAAAATTAAAAAAGAATTATATAATGTGTATAGATTATAGAAACATATTATACTTTTTACATTAGTAAATTTTACTCTTTTCATTAATATATAATTAGATATGGAAAAAAAAAAAAAAAAAAAAAAAAAAAAATTAAAATAAAATTAAAATAAAATAAAATAATTTCCTGTTTAAATTTTAAAAATTATTTCACAAAATAATTATTTTTATTCTTTGTTTTGTATTCATATTTTTTACGAAGATAATTATGATATTGTTAAAATGTTTTTAATGATATAGTATTCTTTTATTATTTTGTGAAATTATTAAAATAAAGAAAAAAATATGTATATATTTTGTACGTTTTCATATTAGAATTAATTTTATAGTTTCATTTTTAACAAAAAAACATTATTTTAATCTTATAGAAAATTTTTTAATATTTTAATTTGGAAGTACTTTTTCACCTAAAATATTTTTGCAATTTTTTTTTTTTTTTTTTTTTTTTTTTTTAATTTCAAAACTTTTGCAATATATGAAATTTTTAATATGTATTTTTAAGTGATTATTAACTATAAAGAATAAAAAATGAAAAGTTATAAATATTTAAAATATTTTTGTAGAAAAAAAATTGTAATTTTTATAATCATAATATAATTTTTTATTTATAAAAAAAAGCAAACCAGTAAATAGTTATCAAATAAATAATAATCAAATATATTATTAATTAAATCACAAAATTTTAAAAATATATTAATAGAATAATGATTAAAAAGAAAAATACTTTAATTAAAACAAAAAAAAAAAAAAAAATAGAAAAAAAATAGAAAAAAAAAAGGATATATTTTGTTAATTATAAAAATACACAAATATATATATTTAAATAATAAAAAAGACAAAAAAAAATGAATTTCATTGTATCATATATAAAAAAAAAAAAAAAAGAAAATTTAGTTATCAATAGAAGAAAAAATATATTTTAATGTTTCTTCAATAATATTTTGATAAAATATTTGTTTTTTTTTATTAATTAAATGAATTAAATGATCACCTTTAAAAAACTTTTCAATATCAGAAAATTCTACATTAGCAACATGATCTATAACAACGTTATGTAAAAAATTATATGTTCTAATTTTTTCACTTCTATCACCACTTTGTTTCTGATTTTTTTTATCTTTTAAAAAATTAATTCTCTCTTGTTCATAATAAAAATTATATAATTTATTTTTTAATAATTCAATAGCAATACTTTTATTTTGAATTTGACTACTAGTTTTTTGAACTTCAACAAAAATATTAGTTGGTTTATGTATAACCTTAACACATGTTTCATTTTTATTAACACTTTGTCCTCCAGCTCCTCCTGATCTTTTTGTTTCAATAACTAAATCTTTTTTAGAAAAATTTATTTTCTTTTTTATTTTATCCATTTTACTTTTTTCATCAAATATTAATACAATTGATGTAGATGTTTGAATTTTTTTACTATTTATTGGAATTCGTTGAACTCTATGAATTCCTATTTCTTGTACAAAATCTTCATATACATTCTTACCTTTTATATATGCTACAATACTTTTATTTCCTTTAATATCATCACTTATTTTATTTTTTAATTCATATTCATAATTTCTAATTTTACAAAAATTTTCATACATATTGAATAATTCTTTACAAAATAATTTCGATTCTAGTCCTCCAACCCCTGCAGTTATCTGTGATAAAAAAAAAAAAATTGAATCATATATTAATAAAAATTAAAAAAAAAAAAAAAATAAATAAATAAAATCTATAAATGTATCTCTATATACCTCCATTTTAATTTCATTGGTATCTAAATGATGATCATCATTAACAAAATTTTTATAAAAATCAATAATATCTTCAATAACAGTGTCTTGTATATTTTGAATATTATTATTTAATTGTTTTATATCATCATCATTCATTATTTTTTTTTGAAATTCTTCCTTGTCATTTATGCTTTCCATTAACAGTTGCTTATATATATTTAATTCTTCATATAATGATTTAAAAATTTTCGATGTTTTTTGAATTTTCTTTATTTTTAAAGTTTCTTTATTTTCACAAACATCAGATATACTTTTATCAGCTAATTCTATGAGTAGTTCTTTTTGTTTATTTTTTAAATAAGTTAAGTTAGTAGAGCAAAAGTTATATCTTCTTATAAAAAATAGTTTGTTTAATATCTTTATATGCCTCCCCATTTAATTATTTTAAATTTAAAAAAAAAAAAAAAGAATATTAGATTTCATGTAATCATAAAAAGTTATTTTTCATACATTCTGAAAAATTCTATAAAACAAATATAATATATATATATATATATATAAATATATATATAAATATATAAATATAAATATAAATATATATATAAATATAAATATATATATAAATATAAATATAAATATAAATATATATATATATATATAATACAATTTTTTTTATAAAATATACCTCAGCTATTTTATAAAAAAAATTAGAACTTTTATAAGATGATTTTGAACCTTTAAAAAAAAAAAAAAAAAATGAATAAAGTTTTTTAAATATTATAATGAATATATGTATTTAGATGATTTTTTTTTTTTTTTTTTTTTTTTTTTTTTACATTTCTTCCATATAATTTCTCCTTCTTTACCAAAAGTTATAATATTTTTTTTTAAAAAAAAAGGGAATAAAAAGTTTCTAATTTTTTGTGAAACATTAGGCAAAGGAAAATAACAAAAATATATTATTACATTTTTTTTATAACTTAAAAAAAAAGGATTATTATATTTTTTAGATACATTTTTTAAATATGAAATTTTTTTTTTTGAGATATTTTCCCAAGTCGTTTCATTGATCTAAATATAAATAAAAAAAATAAAAAAAATAAATAAAATAATATATATATATATATATCTTTCTTCAAAAATACTATATTTTTTTTGTATATATAAATTATAAATATAATATTTTATTTTTTACTAGACATAAATAACTATGGTATAAAATTAAGCATGAAATCATTAGAAAAAAAAATATTAGGATAATAAATAGTATTATTAACCATCCAAAGAAACATCTATAAAAAAAAATATATATATATATATTACATTGATTATATTTTTACAATAAATATATTTAGAAATGAAAAAAGTTATTTTAATTTTTTTAAAATTACCCATTTTCATAAAAAAATAAATGATAAATTGATAAAGTAATATATTTTAAAGATAAACATATTGTAATATTTTCAAAATATAAATATAATAAAAAAAAGCATCTATTATTTTCTGCTACACAATTATTTATCCATTGACAGTGGTGATCAAAAGTTCTGACACATCGATTGCAAATTTTGCAATGTTTAGTTCTTAATGGCTATAATAAAAAAAAAAAAAATATATATATATATATATATATATATATATATATATATATATATATATATATATATATATATATATATATATAGTTATAAAAGAAATAGTAAATATATAAAATTATCAATAAAAGTTAAATAATAAGTTATTATATAACTGTTAAATGGTAAAATATGAAAATCACAACATTAAAATTATAATATTTAAAAATCATAATTTATATGTTTTACAATTTATTTAAATATATATATATTTTTTATACCTGAAAAATGTCACAAATAATACAATAACTCAAACGTGTATTATATTGATAGTATTTATAATTATATAAATAAAATATATTATTATTTTTTTTAATATCTTTTGAAAATATAATATCATTTTTATTAATTTTATGTAGAGCAATGATACTTTGAATTTTTTTTTTTTTTTTTTTTTCTTTTTCTTTCTTATTTTTTTCTCTAATATTTTTATCATTTACTATTATGTATCTTAATTTATTAATATGTAATAAAGACATAGGTTTATAATTATTTCTGTTTTTTTTTATTATTTTTTTTAAACTAAATTTGTATTTTCTTTTTTTAGGATAAAATTGTAGTTTTTCAAAAATTTCCTTATATTCATTTCTATTATTAGGTTGATTACAACTTTTTTTTTCATTACAACATTTTTTTTCATTACAACATTTTTTTTCATTACAACATTTTTTTTCATTACAACATTTTTTCTTTTTAAAATCATTATTTTTTAATATTTTTTCAACATTGTTATTTCTATTATAAAGCATAATTTTACTTTCTTTTTTTTTAAATATTTTGTTACTTAAATAAATAATATCTTCTTTTTCATTTTCAATCATCCTTTTTTTGTTTACGCATTTTTCCTTTTCTTTCTTATAATGGTAATTTTCACTTGAATAATTTATATATTTTATTTTATCTTTATGATTTCTAATCATTTCATTTAAATTGTTTTCATTTATTTTATCTTTATGATTTCTAATCATTTCGTTTAAAATATTTTCATTTTCTTTGAATATAGGAATTTTATTTTTATCAATTAATTGTTTCCATTGTTTTAATTTTTTTTTTATTCCTTTTTCTGTTATAATTGTATTTTTACTTTTATGATGAAAAATGGTTAAACTGTCTAATTCATCATACTGATTTTCTTCTAAGAATATGAAAAAAGAAATTTAAAAAAATAAATTTTATATATGGAATAATATTATTATTATTATTCTTAATAACCATATGTACTATAAGAGGAAAGGGAGTTTAAAGATGACTCATAGTTAATAATAGAACTATCAGATAAATTATTACTTTTTATTTTATTTATCTTTTTTTTTAAATTTTTCTTATTTTTATCTCTTATGTAATTCAATTCTTGATTATTTGTTTTTACGTATGTTAGAGGGCACGTGGTTACATATCCACTTGGAAAAAAAAAATATAAATAAATAAATATGAAATATATATATATATATGAAATATAAAAAAAATACTTTTTATTTTATATATTGACATATTTATTATTATTTATTTATTTCTTTTTTTTTTTAATTGTTACGGGTTACGGTAAGATGAAATGATATATAATAGAAAAGAAACAAAATAAAAAAAAAAAAAATTATTTAATTTTTCCAAAATCAAATTATATTTTTCTTTTAAATTAATACAAGTAATTAAAACTGACAATCTAAATAAAACTACTATATAAGGCAAAATATTTATCATTTTTTTAATTTAAAAAAAAAAAAAAAGAAAAAAAGACAATCTTTTAAAATTATGTCCTCTATATAAATATTTATTACATAAAAAAATATTTTCCAAATTTATGATTCTTTTTTTTTTTTGGATTTTTTTCCTTTATGGATATAATAAAATAAGATTTATATTATTTTACTTTTTTTTTTTTTTTTTTTTTTTTTTTT